AGGCGCCTAGATATATAAGAGGTGCCTCGAAAGTCGTTTTCGCTTGCTCTCCTTGTCGCCTTTACATACCGTACCATGCCAGGAGTGAAGTCGAGATAGGAGGAAGGAAGTCGAAATAGGAGGACAAGTGTAAGGAGAGAGGGAGGAGTGGTTGTACGCTCATTTCTTAGTCGACTCAAGAATCGGCTGCACTCGCAGCTTCCTCTGTCGATTCATACCTATGATCATATTGAAGCTTCGAGGAAGCTTCGAGAGGAGTGACGGGGGTGGGAGGGGGAGGCAGGGCCCGGGGCGTGTTGTAAGCAGGCGAGGAGAGAAAGGTGTCGCTTGACTCAACAGCCGATCGGTTTATCGCCTCCCGAGCCTGCGAGCGTGCGTCGTCAGGGATACCATCGTACATCCTGCTCCTCCAGAAGCTATCCTCCTCCTCCTCCTCCTCCTCCTCCTCCTCCTCCTCCTCCTCCTCCTCCTCCTCCTCCTCCTCCTCCTCCTCCTCCTCCTCCTCTTCATCCCACTCCTCCTCCTCCCCTGCCTCCTCTTCCACCTCCTCCTCATTTTCCTTCGCCTCCTCCGCCTTTACCTCCACCTCCCTCACCTCACTTCGCACTGCCCTTCCCTTTCTTTCCCACGCCTCCGCTCCCTCCTCCTCTTCCGCCCCAGCTTCACTCTCTGATTCGCTGGCTGAGTCCAGCTTGCTCAGGTCGAGATTCAGGCTCGGGAACAGCCAGGCGACTTCCGGTGCAATGTACCCATCACCTTCATTACTGTCACCACTGTCGGCGTCACTATCGCTGCTTGTGTCTTGGGTGCATGAGAGGGGTATGGGGGTGATGGGAGGAGAGGAGGAGGAGGGGGAGGGGGAGGGAGAGGGGGAGGGAGAAGGGGAGGGGGAAGGAGAGGAGGAGAAGAAGAAGGGGGTGGAGGAGGGGTTGAAGGAGGGGGAGGAGGAAGGGGGAGCAGAGGAGGCGGGGGAGGAGGAGGGAGTGGGTGCTGAGGACGAAAGCCCAGCTTCGCTGCTGCCGGATTGTGGTTGTAATGAAGATGCTTCTGACGAGGATAAAAGGCCCCTGGGGCAAGAAGACGATGGGTAGGTGGAAGGCGGGAGGGGGAGGGAGGGCAGGAGGGCAGAAATGGGAGGGAGGGTGGATGGGGGGAGAACTGGGATGGGTTTGGCCCAACTTTGGAAGTGCTGTCTAGTTAGAACCAAGTATCTTCAACCCACCGAAACAGTTTCCGTGCAACTTCTAAGCAGTTTCAGAGCTGTTTCTGAGCAGTTTCTGAGACGCCTTAAACAATGGTGGAGGAGGGCAGCGGAATTTTTCCAAAGCATGGCAGCAGCAAGGTTCAGGTGCAGCATTATCACCAGCCCATCTTTTGCTCTCTGCTTTCTGCTCTCTGCTCTCTGCTCTCTGCTCTTTGCTCGCTTCTAGCTGCTCTCTGCTCGCTGCTCTCTGCTCGCTGCTCTCTGCTCTCTCTGCTCTCTCTGCTCTCTCTGCTCTCTCTGCTCTCTCTGCTCTCTTTACTCACCTCTGCTGCATCCGCTGCTGAAGCACCTTCGCCTTCTGCTGCGCCATGGACATTGCCGAACCTGGCCCCGAGCCTAACGACCCCGGTCCCGAGCCTAGCGACCAGCTCTCCACCCTTCCCCCGTGCCCATCCACCCCTTCCGCATTCCCCCCTTCCCCCCCCTCTCCGCCATCGTCCGCCACCAGTTTCAGCAGCTCGTGCACCCGCCTGTACCCCCTCGTGCGCATCGCCCCCGCAAGGAAAACTCTGGGGGAAGGGGGGGGGGGAGACGGGGGGAGGGAAGGGGAAGGACACGGCGTCAGTGCGCCCGCCTGTACTCCCTCGTGCGCATGCCCCCCGCCAGGAATGCGGCGGGGCTTGGGTGGGGGCGCGAGGGGGGAGGGACGGGGAGGACGGGTGTAAGAGGGGAAAGGGGTGGGAGCGGTGGGGGGGTGGGAGCGGGGAAGGGCAGAGGGGAGGCGCGTCATTGGCAGGCGAAGTAAGGCATGTGCCAGCCTGCCTCCCTCCCTCCCCCTCTCCCGCCCCCCCTCTCGCCCTCCCACCCTGCCGCCTTCCAAGCAGGCATTCCCTCCGAAGCCCTTCTTTCCCGACGACTCCAGTGTGTTCTGAGTCTTACCCGCCGAGCGACGCGACCTCCTTAATCGACGGAAGGTTCTGCTCCGACAGCCCGTTCTCCGCGAGTACTACCCGCAATTGCCGCACGAATGCCACGTCGGACTCGCTGACTTGGCCCGCGGGAATCCTGGAAGAGCCCGACGCACCCGCCGCCGCCACCACCAGGGACCTTGCTGGCGGCGCGACCGCGCTTTTGAAACGGTTTGGAACGAGACAATGGCGTTGCGCGGCTGTGAGAGTTTTGTACGCGTTATGAGGCGCTGCGGTAGCGAGTAAGGGTCGGCACAGTTTGAAGGTGGCGAAATGCGGTGTAGGAGAAAATGGTACAGCGGCTGCCTGCTGCATGGCCTCGACTGCCATTTTTTCCTTTCTTTCCTATAGACTGAAATAAAAACAATGCGGAGTGATAGTTGGACGATATGAAGCAACGAAGTGGTGCTCTGACTAGGAGACGTTGGCAACTATTGTCGAGGAGGGAGGTTATCGGCCATAGCAGAACGAACGATATATTTTCAGGTCATGGAAACAAAAGAAAAAGGTGTTCGCGTTTGCTATCCTCAAACGCATCACTAATACGCGGAAGACGCGGGGAGAGCTTGCATCGCGCGAGCCTGCCGCGTTGGCACAAAAACGGGGAGCTCTTGAAGGAGTGAGCCTTCCAAGATTTTAGCCGTTATTACCAGGACCAGGCAAAATTGGCGGGAATTGGAGACAACAATGCGGCCAGATGCATGCACCCTACCTAGGGAACCGCGATCGGATTGACGAGGAACAAATGTGGCTCGTTACAAGGGCATGCATTATTCTGAAGATTCTTTTCCTCCACCTTATTTTTATTATTTTGCTCTTTTCATGCTGAGCATGCCAGCTCACTCTTTCCATTCATCAAGCAAGAAAGATTCTTGACATATCTCACGCATGTAAAAAAATAAAAATTCCATATAGTTTAAGTATTGCTTCTTTGTTATTTGGAAATTGAGGGTTTTTTTTTCACTTCAGGACAGTATACTCATGGATATTGTTTTATTAATACAGATTTATGAGCAGAAAGTATTCATGAAATTTCTACATCGGTTCTGTGTAAAAATATTGAAAAGTGAGTACCAATTCGTGAATTGTAATTCTGTACTGAATCACAATATGAAAGAATTCAGGGTCGAGAAGGCTATTGGCGGATCAGACACTAGACAGCATATTTTTGAATGAGCTGGGCGTGTTACATTTTTTAAAACTGGCTAAAGTCCGGACAACCGTCCGAGAACGGTTCAGATTCCCAATCTCGGGCAGTACGAGTCCAACGTCCGGACTAAACCTCGTCCGACGTTGTAGATGAAGCATTTTCAACCTGACGAAAATTCGAGTGTTTGCGAGGTTGTAACCACGATCACGAACAAATTACGAGAAAGGTAACACCAAAGCGACTTGAAGACTTCAATCGCTGACCAATGAATTTGCGTTACTGTTACGTCCGTCCACTAATCGAACTGTAAGGGCATGTTACATTTTCGATTTTTTCGTATGGTCCGGACAATCACCACTCTGAAACGTATTGAAACCTACTTGACCAAAGAGTTAAACAGACAAACCGATTTTAACCGTTCAGACGGTCCGGTCCGTTTGGAAAAAATCGAAAATGTAACACGCCCTAATCGTCCGGTCGATTTGGGAAGGCGATTCGCGCAACATGTTCCATCACCGGTCCGATCGTTAACGACGTCGCAAGTGGTCTAGCGAGGAAATTCACGAAATACAACGAGAAGGTTAAAAAAGTCCGGACGACTGCCAGTCCGGACGGGCTGAAGTAAAAAATGTAACACGCCCTAAAAGATCCGTGTCGTCAAATCTCAGAAATCAAACCCAGTCTGACCAGATCGTACCGTTACACACCGTCCGATCAGCTTTCAAATCTCAAGGCTGTGCAATACCTCTGGCTGCTTGCAAGTCTCAGGGCGGTGCAATGGTCAGTCTCACTTTCACCCTCTGAGCCAGCAAAAAGCAGGAAACCGTAGACTTGCTAGTCTCCTTTGCTATCCTGTGACTGAGCGTGTACACCGCCTGGTACGGGTTATAACGTATGTGTAATGTAGAACACGGTTTTACACCGCCAGAGGCTCTCTCGTCTGTGGAATATTGAAATATCGAACGCCAGTGCGTGTCTGCCCGCTTCGCGGTCCATCTGCTGTTCCGATCGAGGGGTCTACAGCGTTCACAGAACCCGCCGACATCAGACCGTTGCGAGGTCGTTCCCGTAGGATCGTAACTAGCTACATCTGACAGGACTCAGTTGCCAGAAGGAGAGAGTAATTACTATTACGTGACTAGTACTCCCAAACGACGACTTCAGAAACTGTGCTCCTAGTAGAAATCATGTTTTCGGAACAGTTCTGACAGCTCGCACAACCATGCACAAGTAGTCGTGTCGTCCCGCCTCGCACTACTAGATCTCGCTGTAGTCGCGGCTGATGTTTTGGCTATGTTGATGGCTAGCCGTCAATTGACTCCAGAGCATGCAGCGAGATTTGGACTAGTTCTACCGACCAGAGACTAACGCCTATGGTCGGTCACCAGAGACTTCAACGTTCTTGAAGCATCGCCTGCAGATCGCCTGAGATGATCTCATGTCGTCCAAAAGCGTGTTCGTTTAGCTGACTAGAAAACACACGATGCCTGGTGGCATTCGTCTGCAGATAGTTCGAGACGTTCAGAACAACCTGTAACAAACTCGTTACATCTGTCAGCCCATTTCTGAAAGAGCTACAAGTTCCAGCCAGCCTTGATGCGCGGCAACATTCGTCTGCAGCAGGGTGACTTTTGAATCGACTTAGGCTCAGAGAACTCTTAAGTTCCAGCCAGGCTTGATGGCTGGCAACATTCGTCTGCAGCGACGGCTGCAGCGCAAGGCGAAGGCGCGGCGGCAGCAGCTGAGCTACCGCACGATTCGCTCCGCGTTCCTCGTCGCCGCGCTCTGCTCCGTCACGTACGCCTGGGTTATCTTCCTCAAAGGCTCCCGACCATACGTACGTACAGTGTTGCGACACCCTGCATCACCTTTATCTGAAGGAACCGAACAACTCAGAGTATACCTTTTTCCTTCTCTTCATGAACCCCCGCTGTCACATTGTGTGCCCCGCAGTGGTGGTGGGTTCCCTCCACGAACGCCCATCCACGGGCGTCCATCTTGAGCTCACTTATAAGGCGCCTTAAAACTCTCCCTCCGCTTCCCCCGCCCCTGTGTATACACTCCCCAGTGGTGATGGGGTCCGTCCACGTGCGACCATGTGTTGATGAGTTAAATTCTAGCTCACCTTTTGAACCTACTCAAATCACCCTTCTCTCCTCTCACTCCCCTCCCCCACTGCCCTTGACTATGCCCCCGCAGTGGTGGTGGGGTCTGTCCACGGGCGACCATCCAGAGCTCATCAAGGCCCGCTTCGCCAGTGTAAGCACCGTACTGTACCGTACTGTACCCCCTTGCAGCGCCCCGTTGCCAGCACCGTCTTCAAAACATCTGTTTCAGTCGCAATCGTCTGCAGAGACCTTTCTCAACCTGCTTCATTCCAACTTCATACGCCTCCCTGACCCGCCATGCTGCCCTTGTTTCTCCTTCCGTCTGTGCGGCGAGCCATTCCTTGGGGCTGCAGAGAGCGCGTGAGCCAGCAACTCTGTGGGACAACCCCGTGAAGGGCAAGTGGCAGCAGTGCGTGCGACCCTCCCCTGCATACGCTGGTGAGTTAGTTGGCTTTCCCCCCTCCCCAGCGTATGCGTTTGGGGGAGGCAAAGTAGAGAGAGTATCAGTCTAAGATTCACCTAGTCATGCTCTCCTCTGCGTGTCCTGTGTGTTTTGTCACACTGCCACGTCATGATGACACCCCTCCGTAGCCTGCCTGGACTTACAAGTTCCTGCCCCTGGTCTTGGCCATTCAACCTCCCTTCGTACTGACGTGCCACCCCTCTTCTTTGCCTGCCTGCCTGCAGACACACCTTTTTACGTGTCAACGGGGTATCTGCAGGTGTTACCTGGGGAATGTCAAGTATTTCCTCTCATGCCGCCCTTTCTTACCACCCTGCAGACGCGCCCCTGTACGAGTCAACGGGGTATCTGCAGGTGTTACCTCAGAAACTTCGATTATCCCCCCTCATGCCGCCCTTTCTTACCATCCTGCAGAAGCGCCCCTGTACGAGTCAACGGGGTATCTGCAGGTGTTACCTCAGAAACTTCGATTATCCCCCCTCATGCCGCCCTTTCTTACCATCCTGCAGAAGCGCCCCTGTACGAGTCAACGGGGTATCTGCAGGTGTTCTTGGATGGTGGCCTCAACCAACAGCGCATCAGCGTAAGCCGTTTTGCACCCATCTCTATCCATCTGCACCCTCCTGTATAAAACTTCACCCATACGTATTGTTCTGCAACCATATTCAGTGATCAGCACCCATCTCTACTGATGCAGCTCAAACTCCTGTGGTACTCGCCTGCTACTCGCCTGCTACGCGCCTGTGCAATGTGATAGCTCATCATTTATTCAACTCAAGATGTCAATGTCTCTCCTCTCGTCCTCCCTCTCTGCCTCTCTCTGTGTGTGTCAGATCCGCAACGAGGTGGCAGTGGCGCGCCTGCTCAACATGATGATTGGAGTCACTCAAGAATCAAAGTCTCTCTTCTCTCTCTCCCTCTCTGCCTGTCTCTGCGTGTGTCAGATCTGCAATGCGGTGGCAGTGGCTCGTCTGCTCAACGCCACTCTGCTCATCCCTCACTTTCAGATCAACCCTGTGTGGCTCGACGACAGGTAACAGTACTTTTAGATAATACCTTATGGCCTTGTTCGGCTGGCGCATCAGCTGATGCGCCAACAGGCTCGGGGATGGTGCAGCCATACCAGGCGGGGAGGTTTGGGTTTTTTTTCGACATGCCAAAATGTTTAGGGTTTCGAGGAAGTCATACAGCGCATGCAGCCAAAATGTCGTGGGCTTCGCGGTAAGTCGTTCAGCGCGAAATTGGCCAATGAGGTTGCCCTGCACCAGCTGATGCTCCCAATTGCTAGGAGATGAAGGTTCCTGGAACAGGGCGACATTTGAAATTTCAAGGGTAAAATGGCTGTTCGGCAGCATTCTGAATTCGTTAGCTTCGGCAGCCATGCGCTTATCTCGAGCCTTGATAACCTCTCAACAGGTTATCAAGGAAGGTTCACGGATGGTCGTTTTACTGTTGCCATCCGGGCTTATGCGCCAACCGAGCTAAGCCTATAGGTGATACATTGCATGCCGCTGACTTGAAACAGTGCCTGTTAAAAGGAAATCAGAGCAGTAAGTATAACTGACTGACCCGGACCAGGTGCAGCAGAACACCAGCAGCCTCTCCAACGGGTTCAAAGCGGACCATTTCCCTCCTATCACGTTTCCCTCCTGTGCTTCTCCTTCCCCCCACCCTCCTTTCACCCTGTTCCCCTCCTCTTCCCGATCACAGCCAGTTTGAGGACATATTCGATATAGAGCACTTCTAGAGGTGACTTCTGAGTCGTTCAAAAAGTCATCCTCCCTCCCCCCTTTTGAGTCGTTCCCTCCTCCTCCTCCTCCCCTTCACCTTCCCAGCCAGTTCGAGGACATATTCGATGTAGAGCACTTCATGCGCTACCTACAGCGCGATGTGCTGATAGTGAGGCAGCTGCCGCACAAGTACCGGTGGAGCACGCGGGAGTTCTACAGCACGGGCGTGCATCAGAACCGCATCAAGTTCGCGCCCATGCACGCCTCCCCCGAGTGGTACCTCAAGAACGTGCTGCCGAAGCTGCAGCGGTGAGTGCTGGGTGCACTTGGCTAAGTCACTGATTGGAAGGGGTCTGCCCCCATGCACGCCTCCCCGGCCTGGTACCTCAAGAACGTGCTTCCAAAGCTGCAGCGGTGAGTTCTGGCAGGCACTGACCTTATTGGTGGAGCACGCGGGAGTTCTACAGCACGGGCGTGCATCAGAACCGCATCAAATTCGCCCCCATGCACGCCACGCCTCAGTGGTACCTTAAGAACTTGCTGCCGAAGCTGCAGCGGTTAGTGCTGGTTGACACTCGCACTCAGCTAAGTGCTTCTCTTCGCTGGTTTAGAAGCCGTTCCCCCCTGAACGTGCACGCATCCCCTCAGTGGTACCTCAAGAACGCACTGCCGAATTGCAGCGGTAAGTGCTGCAGGACACTTAGCTTAATTAATTGATTGAGCTGTAAGCTAGGTTGAAAGCAGTGTTTCCTCCATGCACGCCTCCCCTGAGCTGTTCATTGTGACAGTCCTGCTGACACTGGCACCTGACACCTGCCCCTCCCGTCCTTCACCTGCCCCTCCCGTCTCTCTTCCACCCTTCCCCTCCTTGTTCTTCCCTCCATCCGCTCATCCCCACTCCTCCGCCTGCACCTAGCGTGGTGGCGAGCACTCTTCACCCCACCCCCTCACCTTTGACTGGCTGCCTCCCTTCCTCCCTCCCCTACCCCTCTCCCCTTACTTCCCTTCCCCTGTCAGCCATGGCGTGGTGGCATAGCGCCCTTCACGCACCGCCTTGCCTTTGACAAACTGCCTCTTTCCCCCTCCTTTTCCCTCTTTCTTTCTCTTCCCCTCTTTCTTTCTCTTCCCCCCCCCCCCGGATCAGCCATGGAGTGGTGGCAATAGCGCCCTTCACCCACCGCCTTGCCTTTGACGGGCTGCCTCCAGACGTGCAGCGCCTGCGCTGCCGTGTGAACTTCCATGCGCTGCGATTCGTGGAGCCCGTCCGCAGGCTCGGGTGAGTGACTGAGGCCTTGGGAAGTGGAGGCTCGGGTGAGTGACTGAGGCCTGGGTGAGTGGAGGATCGGGTTAGTAACGGTTGTGCGTGTGATCAGGGGTTCAGAGCAGAGGTGCAGCTCCTGCGCTGCCGAGTCAACTTCCATGCGCTGCGATTCGTGGAGCCCATCTGTAGGCTCGGGTGAGTGGTGGAGGCTCGGCTTGATGATTGGTGGAGGCTCGGGTGAGTGTTGGAGGCTCGGGTGAGTGGTGGAGGCTCGGGTGAGTGTTGGAGGCTCGGGTGAGTGGTGGAGACTGGGGTGAGTGAAGGAGGCTCAAACATACGACCCTTTCTTTCCCTCTCACTCATACTTTTTTTTCTTGTCCCCCCATAAAATTATTATGTATCCTCCCAGGAAGATTTTAGTGGAACGTCTGAGGGACCCCAACAGACGGCATGTGAAGCGCGGTGTGCTGTTTGGGAAAGGGGGAGATGTGACCGTATCCTCGAATCCCTTTCCTGTCTCTCTCACCCTTTCTCCCATCCACCTGTCTCGTTCTCCCAGGAGGATTCTGGTGGAGCGACTGAGAGACCCCAACAGGCGGCATGTGAAGCGAGGGGTGCTGTTTGGGAAGGGAGGTGATGTGTCGAGTTATGGCGGCAAGGGGAAGGTGGGAGGGATTGGGGAGGGAGCAGCGGAAGGAGAGAAAACAGCAGCAGCGAAAGAAGCAGAGGACGAATCTGAGAAAGCGGCAGAGATGGCAGCAGCGAAAGCAGCAGAGATGGTGGAGCAGTTGCAGGAGGAGGCTCGTGGTGGTGCTGGTGCTGGTGCTGGTGCTGGGGTAGGAGACGGTCGAGAGAGGGCGGAGGTTGTGAGTGAAGGAAGAGAGGAGACGAAGGAAACGTTTAAAGAGGCAATTGCAGGGGAAGGAGAGGGGAAGGGAGGGCGGGAGGGGGAGGAGGGTGTGGGTGGAGGCGATGTGTCAGGTGCTGCTGGTGTGAGGGTGATTGAAGATGGAAAAGGCCTGTCTGGGATATCGACTCGTGCAGATGGTGATGGTGATGGTGATGGTGATGCTGGTGGTGGTGGTGATGCTGGTGGCTTGCAGCAAGGGAGCAAGGGTGGTATCGAAGCAGTGGAGGAGGATGAGGAAGGGGAAGAGGGGGAGGGGGAGGCGGAGGGGGGAGGCAAGAGGAGGTTGCTGCAGGAGAGTCGGGGAGGGGTGGGGGGTGGAGTAAGTGTGGCGAAGGGAGGAGGCGGAAAAGGAGGAGGAAGAAGAGGAGGTGGAGCAGGGGTGGGTAGGATGGGCGAGGAGGATTCGGAGGAGGGGAGTGAGGGCGCGTTTTGGAGTGAGGATGGGTTGATTGACGAGGCGGCAAGGGAGAGACGGGCGTTGCGTGCAGGGCGAGAGGAGCGAGTAGTGCCGCTGCGAGCAGGGAACGTCACTGCAGGGAGCACCACTGCTGGAAATGGCAGTGCTGGGAATGGGAGTGCGGGGAACAGCAGTGGAGTTGGGAAAGTGGAGGTGGGAGTGGTGTTGAATGAGCAGGGGGGTCCCGTGGATGGTTTATCACAGATAGAAGAGAGTGACGAAGGGGCAGACACAGGTGATGGGAAAGGCAGTGGCAGCGGCAGCAGCAGCGGTGGCAGCAGTGGCAGCGGCAGCAGCAGCAGCGGCAGCAGTGGCAGCGGCAGCAGCGGCAGCAGTGGCAGCGGCAGCAGCGGTGGCAGCGGCAGCAGTGGCAGCGGCAGCAGTAGCAGCGGCAGCAGCGGTGGCAGCAACAAGGAGGGTGGTGCGGGCAGCAGCAGGTTGTTGAGTGGTCGGCCGCTGCTGGAGAAGGGAGGGGGATGGGGGCGCAAGGAGGGGAAGAGAAAGAGATATGTGGCCATGCACCTGAGATTTGATATGGTGAGAGGATGGGAAGCACCTGAGGAGGGAAACAATCAGCACTTTTAAGATCCCCTTCATACTTCACCTATAACACTACCCCCAACCCCCACTTTCTCTCCTTTACCTTAGGACATGGTACCTTAAACCCTCCCCTCCCCCCCCGCCAACCCATCACGTCCCTTCCAACCCTTCCCCCCCTCCCTCCCCACACTGCTTTCGTGACAATACAGGACATGGTGGCGCACTCAGCATGTGACTATGGCGAGACGTGGGCGGAGCGAGAGGCTTTATCAAAGTACCGCGAGTATGCGTGGCTGGGGCGAGTGGACAAGCTGCGCTTCTCCTCCGATGAGCTGCGCCTGGCGGGCAAGTGCCCCCTCACACCCGAGGAGGTGGGACTGGTGCTGGCTGCTCTCGGTTTCTCTGCCAAGACGAGACTATATGTGGCGACGTACCAGGTGGGTCTGTTCGTACCAGATGAGGGTCAATGTGAGTGTGAGCTGCGCTTCTCCTCTGATGAGCTGCGCTTCTCCTCTGATGAGCTGCGCTTCTCCTCTGATGAGCTGCGCTTCTCCTCTGATGAGCTGCGCCTGGCCGGCAAGTGCCCCCTCACGCCCGAGGAGGTGGGGCTCGTGCTGGCGGCACTCGGCTTCTCGGCCAAGACCAGACTCTACGTGGCCACCTACCAGGTGCGTTGAGGCGCCTCAAAACACACCTCAATGCAGGTGGGGCTCGTGCTGGCGGCGCTTGGCTTCTCGGCCAAGACCAGACTCTACGTGGCCACCTACCAGGTGCGTTGAGGCGCCTCAAAACACACCTCAATGCAGGTGGGGCTCGTGCTGGCGGCGCTTGGCTTCTCGGCCAAGACCAGACTCTACGTGGCCACCTACCAGGTGCGTGAGAGTGTGAGACCTGCTTCTGGGGAGAGGCGAGAGGCACAGGCCAAGGCGAGCCTGGCCCTGGAGGAGGGGCTGAGGCCCCTCAACACTGTGAGGAGAGGTGACTTTTGAGTCGACTCAAAAGTCACCTCGTTACAATGGCACACGACACTTTTTGAGTCGACTCAAAAGACACCTCGCGAGAGGCACAGGCCAAGGCGAGCCTGGCCATGGAGGAGGAGCTGAGGCCCCTCAACACTGTGCGTTGCTTCTGTTGTCCATTCCTCTGCTTTTGAGTCGACTCAAAAGCAGCTGAGGCCCCTCAACACTGTGTGTCGCTTCTGTTCTCTTTTCCCCTGCAGGTGTACGGAGGTGAGAAGCGAATTGCCCCCCTGAGAAGACTGTTCCTGTGGCTGGAGGACAAGACGAGCCTGGCCACGGAGGAGGAGCTGCGGCCGTTCAACACCTGATAACAGCCCTGTTTCCCATTCATTCCCTTTCCCCCTGCAGGTGTATGGGGGAGATAAGAGAATCGCCCCCCTGAGGAGATTGTTCCCGTGGCTGGAGGACAAGACTAGTCTGGCCACGGAGTGGCCCCTCAACTCCCGATATCACCCCTGTTTCCTTCTCAACTGCAGGTGTACGGGGGGGAGAAGCGCATTGCTCCCCTGCGCCGCCTGTTCCCGTGGCTGGAGGACAAGACGAGTCTGGCCACAGAGGAGGAGCTGCGGCCGTTCCTGGGGAAGGCGTCACAGCCCTGCAACACCTGATGTAACCCCTGTTTCCTCGTACGCCGCAGGTGTATGGAGGGGAGAAGCGGATTGCCCCCCTGCGCCGCCTGTTCCCGTGGCTGGAGGACAAGACGAGTCTGGCCACAGAGGAGGAGCTGCGGCCGTTCCTGGGGAAGGCGTCACAGCCCTGCAACACCCGATTTCACCCCTGTTTCCTCGTACGCCGCAGGTGTATGGAGGGGAGAAGCGGATTGCTCCCCTGCGCCGCCTGTTCCCGTGGCTGGAGGATAAGACGAGCCTGGCGACGGAGGAGAAGCTGCAGCCGTTCCTGGGGAAGGCATCACAGCCCTGCAACACCTGATGTAACCCCTGTTTCCTCGTACGCCGCAGGTGTATGGAGGGGAGAAGCGGATTGCTCCCCTGCGCCGCCTGTTCCCGTGGCTGGAGGACAAGACGAGCCTGGCGACGGAGGAGGAGTTGAGGCCGTTCCTGGGGAAGGCGTCGCTGCTGGCAGCACTGGACTTCTATGTCAGCCGCTACAGCGATGTGTTCGTGTCCGCCTCCCTGGGCAACATGCACAACGTGATGGTGAGGCATGCACCATGTTGTGAGGTGATGGGCTTAACGGTGCTTGCTTACCTTGTGAGGGGAGGGGGGGTGGGCAAGGGAAGGCGTCGCTGCTGGCAGCGCTGGACTTGTACAGTGATGTATTCGCGTCTGCTTCCCTCCTCAACAAGCACAGCGTAATGGTGAGCTGCATGACATGCTGAGGCACCTCGACAATGTGATGATGAGCACAATGGGGATGGTGATGCCTCTCTGATATTCATTGTTATAGTCACCTTTCTGCTCGATGCACTGCACCCCCCTTATGTTTCACCGCTATGTTGTTTCCCAATGCATTTCAATTTCAGGCTGCACACCGTGCGTACTTTGGCGGTTTAAAGACGATCAACTTCAACGGTACACTCCTGGCAACGCTGCTTGCGGCCCCTCCAAACACCCTCAACTGGAACGAGTTCGTTCGCGCCGTGCGGATCGGGCATCGGTCGCGAATGGGCAAGATCAAGCCGAGGCGTGCCGGGCAATCCATCTACACCTATCCTGCTCCCGATTGCTTGTGCCCTATTGACGTACCACCGTCGCAGCCCGCGACTCGCACCGTAACAAGTGCTACAAACAGTGGCTTGGTTTCATTCACAAATGGTAATATTCATTCAGCCAAGGAGGGTGAAGTTGGTAAAAATGAGGATATTGCTGTTGGTAGGGATACGAGAGTTCTAGATGAAACTATGGATGTGCGGGACGTTGATTGGGACAATATGGGAGGCCAAAGACGATGATACGTTGTATGGTTCTGACAATTATACAAGCACCAAGAATGAGCATGTTAAGATTACAGGCCTTGTTTGAGTTAATCTTTTTGCATAATTATTTTCTGCTTTGGCTGCTGGCTCATCTAAGCGACTGTTGCAAACGAAACTCGCAATGCCGCGCGTATTCCGCAACAGATCCCACAATCGAGTTTGCGTGACTTGGTGATTCACGAGGATTTGGTGGTAAGTCGAGTCGCGACACTCCACTCAGATCCCACTCGGGTAAAAGCCAGCACGCAGGCCGCGTGGTTTTGGTTAGGAAGTCGCGATTTGCTCTTGGCACGATCCGATCGTTTCCGCTGGCCGCTAGACGCATCGGTGCAGTATTGCCACAGCACTGTTAGACGGGGTTTTGCGCAGAGCCGATGTGAGTTTAGAGTGGATGTGAAGTGATCGTCACCTCGTTTCGAAGAAGCAGCGACTGTTGAGTCCACTGAGTGGTTCGAAGGTTTCCAAAAAAATAAAAATAAATACATTATCCATTGAAACGTTTCAATTTGCACGGAGCATCACCAGAGTCGAACGAGGCGTGCAGGCATGGCGGCGAGAGGCAGGTTCGGCGGGGTGAAGCGAGAGAACGAGGGCTTCGACTTTCAGTATCGCATGTCCGTTGACAACAGTGAGTTGTGACAATAGTGAGCTGTGCCTAGTGCGATGTGACATTAGTTGCCTTCTGCTCTGCTCGCTCCTTCTGGTTGATCCTCACGCGCCTTTAAGTCTGCATCTCGCCGCGTTGCCGGTTGCATTGTCGCCTCTCCCCATCTTGCGTGTTCTCTGAACTGTGCTGTGCGGTGCTGCGCGGTGCTTTGTGGTGCAGGATACAAGAAGGCAGCTGAGGGTCGTCGCCGACTGAGACTACTGACGACACTGCAGGTGAGCGATGAACCTGCGTCATCTCAATGTCGTGATGAATGGCATCACACCATCGAATTATAAACTGAGGCATCAAAGAGCTTGAGCTGTATCATTGAGGGTTCTAACAACATCGAGATTATTCACGTGACCGGCACAGTTTCAGGTAGCAACATCACAGGTTTCATTTTCACGTGACTGTGGGATCTAAGGGTCAAAGCAACATCAAGTAGCACCATTCCGCACCGTTTAGCACCGTTCAGAAATCACCGAGCAGCAAGCCGTTCCTCTCATCTGCCAATCCCATCCCTCCCTCCACCCCCCTCCCTTTCCTCTCGCTCTTCTCCTTCCTGCGAGTCCTCATAGCGGCCTCTCTCACTGCTAGATACCTCTCAATCTGACTGGAGTATCCCCATCCATGCCTCTACTTTCCCCATTCCTTCCCCCCCCCACCACCGCCAGTCGCTCTACTCCTTCCTGCGTGTCCCCATAGCAGCCTCTCTCATGGTTTGCCCTCTCATCACAGCACGCCTGCACGGGAACGCTGCTGTGGGACTGATTATGACTCGACTCCTACTGTCATGCCTCACCTTTCCCCATCCCTTCCGTCCCCAACACCCCTCCTGTTGGAGTAGGCTAGAGCTTTTGAGGCGCCTCAAAAGTCGTTTGCTGGATTAGGCTAGAGGCGCTTCAAAAGTCGTCTGTTGGAGTAGGGTAGAACTTTTGAGGCGCCTCAAAAGTCGTCTGTTGGAGTAGGCTGGAACTCGCTCTGGCATTTATCATAGTGTTCTTTTGTTATTTCGCCATGTTTGGAGCGAGTTACACTTTCGGTTCAGTTTAGGTTCATTTCTTAGTTTCTAGCACAAACTGAGCACGCCCTAAGTTCAATTAGGGCTTCCTACATTTGTATCTCGACACTCTTTCCTTGAAACAATTCTCTTGCTACTTTCTCTCTCCCTAGCCATGGCTACCATATTTCTCAGCTTTAACACCTCCCACCACCTCCATTCACTCTACTCCTTCCTGCGAGTCCTCATAGCAGCTGCGCTCATGGCCTGCGCGCTTATCACAGCACGCCTGCACGGCAGCAGCACCCTAAACCACCAATGCCGTGCTTCTCGTTTGCTCCATACCCCCACCTCCCCACCCCACCACCGTCAGTCGCTCTACTCCTTCCTGCGAGTCCTCATAGCAGCCTCGCTCATGGCCCGGCCGCTCATCACAGCACGCCTGCACGGCAGCACGGGTGGGGGGCCACAGGCGCTGCAGATAGACGTGAAGGAGTCGCTAGCAGCAGCACTGGGAGCAGCTGCTGCTCTCACAGGGAATCTAGGTATGTATAATACCACAAGCACTGGGGAATGCAGTTATGTGTGTGTGTATCACCATAAGCACTGGACAGCAGCACGCATGGGCGAGCAGTGGCGCTGCAGATGGACGTGAAGGCGACACTGGTTGCAGCACTGGGAGCAGCTGCTGCTCTCACAGGGAATCTAGGTATGTATAATACCACAAGCACTGGGGAATGCAGTTATGTGTGTGTGTATCACCATAAGCACTGGACAGCAGCACGCATGGGCGAGCAGTGGCGCTGCAGATGGACGTGAAGGCGACACTGGTTGCAACACTGGGAGCAGCTGCTGCTCTCACAGGGAATCTAGGTATGTATAATACCACAAGCACTGGGGAATGCAGTTATGTGTGTGTGTATCACCATAAGCACTGGACAGCAGCACGCATGGGCGAGCAGTGGCGCTGCAGATGGACGTGAAGGCGACACTGGTTGCAACACTGGGAGCAGCTGCTGCTCTCACAGGGAATCTAGGTATGTATAATACCACAAGCACTGGGGAATGCAGTTATGTGTGTGTGTATCACCATAAGCACTGGACAGCAGCACGCATGGGCGAGCAGTGGCGCTGCAGATGGACGTGAAGGCGACACTGGTTGCAACACTGGGAGCAGCTGCTGCTCTCACAGGGAATCTAGGTATGTATAATACCACAAGCACTGGGGAATGCAGTTATGTGTGTGTGTATCACCATAAGCACTGGACAGCAGCACGCATGGGCGAGCAGTGGCGCTGCAGATGGACGTGAAGGCGACACTGGTTGCAACACTGGGAGCAGCTGCTGCTCTCACAGGGAATCTAGGTATGTATAATACCACAAGCACTGGGGAATGCAGTTATGTGTGTGTGTATCACCATAAGCACTGGACAGCAGCACGCATGGGCGAGCAGTGGCGCTGCAGATGGACGTGAAGGCGACACTGGTTGCAACACTGGGAGCAGCTGCTGCTCTCACAGGGAATCTAGGTATGTATAATACCACAAGCACTGGGGAATGCAGTTATGTGTGTGTGTATCACCATAAGCACTGGACAGCAGCACGCATGGGCGAGCAGTGGCGCTGCAGATGGACGTGAAGGCGACACTGGTTGCAACACTGGGAGCAGCTGCTGCTCTCACAGGGAATCTAGGTATGTATAATACCACAAGCACTGGGGAATGCAGTTATGTGTGTGTGTATCACCATAAGCACTGGACAGCAGCACGCATGGGCGAGCAGTGGCGCTGCAGATGGACGTGAAGGCGACACTGGTTGCAACACTGGGAGCAGCTGCTGCTCTCACAGGGAATCTAGGTATGTATAATACCACAAGCACTGGGGAATGCAGTTATGTGTGTGTGTATCACCATAAGCACTGGACAGCAGCACGCATGGGCGAGCAGTGGCGCTGCAGATGGACGTGAAGGCGACACTGGTTGCAACACTGGGAGCAGCTGCTGCTCTCACAGGGAATCTAGGTATGTATAATACCACAAGCACTGGGGAATGCAGTTATGTGTGTGTGTATCACCATAAGCACTGGACAGCAGCACGCATGGGCGAGCAGTGGCGCTGCAGATGGACGTGAAGGCGACACTGGTTGCAACACTGGGAGCAGCTGCTGCTCTCACAGGGAATCTAGGTATGTATAATACCACAAGCACTGGGGAATGCAGTTATGTGTGTGTGTATCACCATAAGCACTGGACAGCAGCACGCATGGGCGAGCAGTGGCGCTGCAGATGGACGTGAAGGCGACACTGGTTGCAACACTGGGAGCAGCTGCTGCTCTCACAGGGAATCTAGGTATGTATAATACCACAAGCACTGGGGAATGCAGTTATGTGTGTGTGTATCACCATAAGCACTGGACAGCAGCACGCATGGGCGAGCAGTGGCGCTGCAGATGGACGTGAAGGCGACACTGGTTGCAACACTGGGAGCAGCTGCTGCTCTCACAGGGAATCTAGGTATGTATAATACCACAAGCACTGGGGAATGCAGTTATGTGTGTGTGTATCACCATAAGCACTGGACAGCAGCACGCATGGGCGAGCAGTGGCGCTGCAGATGGACGTGAAGGCGACACTGGTTGCAACACTGGGAGCAGCTGCTGCTCTCACAGGGAATCTAGGTATGTATAATACCACAAGCACTGGGGAATGCAGTTATGTGTGTGTGTATCACCATAAGCACTGGACAGCAGCACGCATGGGCGAGCAGTGGCGCTGCAGATGGACGTGAAGGCGACACTGGTTGCAACACTGGGAGCAGCTGCTGCTCTCACAGGGAATCTAGGTATGTGTAATACCACAAGCACTGGGGAATGCAGTTATGTGTGTGTGTATCACCATAAGCACTGGACAGCAGCACGCATGGGCGAGCAGTGGCGCTGCAGATGGACGTGAAGGCGACACTGGTTGCAACACTGGGAGCAGCTGCTGCTCTCACAGGGAATCTAGGTATGTATAATACCACAAGCACTGGGGAATGCAGTTATGTGTGTGTGTATCACCATAAGCACTGGACAGCAGCACGCATGGGCGAGCAGTGGCGCTGCAGATGGACGTGAAGGCGACACTGGTTGCAACACTGGGAGCAGCTGCTGCTCTCACAGGGAATCTAGGTATGTATAATACCACAAGCACTGGGGAATGCAGTTATGTGTGTGTGTATCACCATAAGCACTGGACAGCAGCACGCATGGGCGAGCAGTGGCGCTGCAGATGGACGTGAAGGCGACACTGGTTGCAACACTGGGAGCAGCTGCTGCTCTCACAGGGAATCTAGGTATGTATAATACCACAAGCACTGGGGAATGCAGTTATGTGTGTGTGTATCACCATAAGCACTGGACAGCAGCACGCATGGGCGAGCAGTGGCGCTGCAGATGGACGTGAAGGCGACACTGGTTGCAACACTGGGAGCAGCTGCTGCTCTCACAGGGAATCTAGGTATGTATAATACCACAAGCACTGGGGAATGCAGTTATGTGTGTGTGTATCACCATAAGCACTGGACAGCAGCACGCATGGGCGAGCAGTGGCGCTGCAGATGGACGTGAAGGCGACACTGGTTGCAACACTGGGAGCAGCTGCTGCTCTCACAGGGAATCTAGGTATGTATAATACCACAAGCACTGGGGAATGCAGTTATGTGTGTGTGTATCACCATAAGCACTGGACAGCAGCACGCATGGGCGAGCAGTGGCGCTGCAGATGGACGTGAAGGCGACACTGGTTGCAACACTGGGAGCAGCTGCTGCTCTCACAGGGAATCTAGGTATGTATAATACCACAAGCACTGGGGAATGCAGTTATGTGTGTGTGTATCACCATAAGCACTGGACAGCAGCACGCATGGGCGAGCAGTGGCGCTGCAGATGGACGTGAAGGCGACACTGGTTGCAACACTGGGAGCAGCTGCTGCTCTCACAGGGAATCTAGGTATGTATAATACCACAAGCACTGGGGAATGCAGTTATGTGTGTGTGTATCACCATAAGCACTGGACAGCAGCACGCATGGGCGAGCAGTGGCGCTGCAGATGGACGTGAAGGCGACACTGGTTGCAACACTGGGAGCAGCTGCTGCTCTCACAGGGAATCTAGGTATGTATAATACCACAAGCACTGGGGAATGCAGTTATGTGTGTGTGTATCACCATAAGCACTGGACAGCAGCACGCATGGGCGAGCAGTGGCGCTGCAGATGGACGTGAAGGCGACACTGGTTGCAACACTGGGAGCAGCTGCTGCTCTCACAGGGAATCTAGGTATGTATAATACCACAAGCACTGGGGAATGCAGTTATGTGTGTGTGTATCACCATAAGCACTGGACAGCAGCACGCATGGGCGAGCAGTGGCGCTGCAGATGGACGTGAAGGCGACACTGGTTGCAACACTGGGAGCAGCTGCTGCTCTCACAGGGAATCTAGGTATGTATAATACCACAAGCACTGGGGAATGCAGTTATGTGTGTGTGTATCACCATAAGCACTGGACAGCAGCACGCATGGGCGAGCAGTGGCGCTGCAGATGGACGTGAAGGCGACACTGGTTGCAACACTGGGAGCAGCTGCTGCTCTCACAGGGAATCTAGGTATGTATAATACCACAAGCACTGGGGAATGCAGTTATGTGTGTGTGTATCACCATAAGCACTGGACAGCAGCACGCATGGGCGAGCAGTGGCGCTGCAGATGGACGTGAAGGCGACACTGGTTGCAACACTGGGAGCAGCTGCTGCTCTCACAGGGAATCTAGGTATGTGTAATACCACAAGCACTGGGGAATGCAGTTATGTGTGTGTGTATCACCATAAGCACTGGACAGCAGCACGCATGGGCGAGCAGTGGCGCTGCAGATGGACGTGAAGGCGACACTGGTTGCAACACTGGGAGCAGCTGCTGCTCTCACAGGGAATCTAGGTATGTATAATACCACAAGCACTGGGGAATGCAGTTATGTGTGTGTGTATCACCATAAGCACTGGACAGCAGCACGCATGGGCGAGCAGTGGCGCTGCAGATGGACGTGAAGGCGACACTGGTTGCAACACTGGGAGCAGCTGCTGCTCTCACAGGGAATCTAGGTATGTATAATACCACAAGCACTGGGGAATGCAGTTATGTGTGTGTGTATCACCATAAGCACTGGACAGCAGCACGCATGGGCGAGCAGTGGCGCTGCAGATGGACGTGAAGGCGACACTGGTTGCAACACTGGGAGCAGCTGCTGCTCTCACAGGGAATCTAGGTATGTATAATACCACAAGCACTGGGGAATGCAGTTATGTGTGTGTGTATCACCATAAGCACTGGACAGCAGCACGCATGGGCGAGCAGTGGCGCTGCAGATGGACGTGAAGGCGACACTGGTTGCAACACTGGGAGCAGCTGCTGCTCTCACAGGGAATCTAGGTATGACTGTTACAGCACGCTTGCTCGGCAGCACGGTTGGGCGAGCGTTGCAGGTAGATGTGAAGGAGGCATTGGCTGGTTGCAGCACTGGGAGCAGCTGCAGCTGCAGCTCTAACAGGGAATCTATGTATGGGTGTCACCACTTCATGGCCTGTCTCGCAGCACTCTTCACCAGTCTTTCCAAAGAAAGCTATCCCCATGCCCCATCCCATGCCCCATCCCATGCCCCATCCCAAGGTGCAAAAAAACGACGTTTTTTTCATTTTTTTGTCGTTTTTTTCGATATCGTAATTTTCGATCGTATAAAACGGAATAAAACGAGAATATTGATTAGTCCTTTTTTGGTGGAAAAAAACGATCGTTTTTTACGATCGTAAATTTCGTACCACAATTTACAGTTGCAATTATCTCCGGATAACGCACAACTCGCAGTGAAGGGTTTCACTCTATACACGAGCATCACAAGGGCAGAGGTAGCGGGAGGATTCATGAGGGAGCACAGGCATGTGGGTTGAAGTGAATCCACCCAGTACAGAGAGGAATCGTGGGTCAGAAATTTAGACCCACGTTCGAGGCGCGACATGCAGACATTGGGACCCACGTTCGAGGCGCGACATGCAGACATTGGGACCCACCTTCGAGGCGCGACATGCAGACATTGGGACCCACGTTCGAGGCGCGGCATGCAGACATTGGGACCCACCTTCGAGGCGCGGCATGCAGACATTGGGACCCACCTTCGAGGCGCGGCATGCAGACATTGGGACCCACCTTCGAGGCGCGGCATGCAGACATTGGGACCCACCTTCGAGGCGCGGCATGCCAACACTTCGCTTCCCTGCTCTCGCTGATTTCGCAAAGCCTCGAGGCCACTTCGTGCACCCTTAAAAATGAATTCGTGCATGTGCGAAACACGAGTGTCAAGGAGGAGGAGGAGGAGGAGGAGGAGGAGGAGGAGGAGGAGGAGGATGAGGAGGAGGAGGAGGAGGAGGAGGAGGAGGAGGAGGAGGAGGAGGAGGAGGAGGAGGAGGAGGAGGAGGAGGAGGATGAGGAGGAGGAGGAGGAGGAGGAGGAGGAGGAGGAGGAGGAGGAGGAGGGGGGGGGGTCCAACGCATGGGACTTTAGTGACATCGATGGTGTTAGATAGAGAGTGATGAGCTGTAACGACCTTTCTATATTTTATTTTAATTGCAATCAGGCTAGAAAACTTATCAGCACTGACTTGCCAGAGAGTGTTGGTGGCTGGGGATTTGTAAGGTTGATTTTTTTTTTTTCTGAATTTTTTTTTGGGCCTAACAAAAAAACGACGTTTTTTTCCCAAACTTGACCGTACAAAACGATCGTTCTTTTCAATCGTTTTTTACCGCAACCGTTTTTTTCCACCTTGCCCCATCCCATGCCCCATCCCATGCCCCATCCCATGCCCCATCCCATGCCCCATCCCATGCCGCATCCCATGCCCCACCCATGCTGCATCCCATGCCCCACCCATGCCGCATCCCATGCCCAACTGTTCCCACGTCCCATCCCATGTCCCTTTGCAGCATCCGGCACGTCTCGCGCGCGAGTGCTCAAGCTGTACGCCACGCTCTCCCTCATGGCCTGCGTTGCAGCGCTCTTGCCCCTCCTCACTGGCCCTCTTGTCTATCCGGTATGCTCTGTCTCTACCCTCTTGTTTAACTGGTACTCTATGCCTCTACCCTCTTGTCTACCCGGTCCGCTCTGTCTCTGCCCTCTTGTTTAACTGGTATTCTATGCCTCTACCCTCTTGTCAACCCGGTACGCTGTGCCTCTACTCCCTTGTCTACTTGGTACGCTGCTCCTCTACCCTCCTGTTTAACCGATATGCTATGCCTCTTCTTTCTTGTCTACCCATTACGCTCTACCTCTCTTCCCTTGTCTAACCGGTACACTCCGCCTTGTTCTTTTGGCTACATCTTTGCACGCTTTCATGCTCTGGTGCATCAGAGAGAGTGCCAGTGTGCATGTGTGCATGTGTGCATGTGTGCATGCGTGCATGTGTGCATGCATGCATGTGTGCATGTGTGCATGCGTGCATGCGTGCATGCGTGCATGTGTGCATGTGTGCATGCGTGCATGTGTGCATGTGTGCATGTGTGCATGCGTGCATGTGTGCATGCGTGCATGCGTGCATGTGTGCATGTGTGCATGTGTGCATGTGTGCATGCGTGCATGCGTGCATGTGTGCATGCGTGCATGTGTGCATGCGTGCATGTGTGCATGTGTGCATATGTGCGTGCGTGCATGCGTGCATGTGTGCATGCGTGCATGCGTGCATGTGTGCATGTGTGCATGTGTGCGTGCGTGCATGCGTGCATGTGTGCATGTGTGCGTGCGTGCATGTGTGCATGTGCGCATGCGTGCTTGTGTGTGTGTGTGCATGTGTGCTTGTATGCAAGTGTGAATGCACCCAACGCACCACAGCAGCCCAACACACCCCAGAAGCCCAAAACACAACCCCCTACTTTGTGCTTTGCTCCACCATCTATCCTTGGACAGGGAAATTGAACAGTGATGTACAGTAGTTGCCTTTCCAATCAACGCAATATCACACAAATTCTCTCGTAAATCGTACAGAACAACACCCCTCAGTTGACTTTTGAGTTCTGCCAAGTGTCACCCTCTGATTGCGTGTCCATTATAATACTTGAACAGGAGAAATGGATGACTGTGAGGAATAATGGTAGCAGCAACAGTGCGGAGGGAGCAGATAATCTGGAGCAGCTTTGGACTGCTGTAGCCACGGCCAGCATTGCCATTGACATGGCAGGTAACCACCAGAGATTACATTTTTTTCGTAACGCTTGCTGTTTGGCAATGTGTTGTCGTAAATACCCTCCCTAATTCCTGTATTTCTTGTGTGGGTGGATGTCGCCCTAGCTGTTGCAGGAGCTCTGCTGCATCTCGTGGTTGTGTATGTGTCGGTTTCTATGGCTGCTGCGTTTTCCACGCCGAAGTCACAATGACCTGTGGTTCGACACTCGAAGACTGCATGCACTATTAGCCCCTGATACACCGGTCGTCATTGTGTGATGCATTTATTCTTGGCGAACTTTGTTTTTGGGTGAACAGATCAGTCACTCACACGTGAACGAGACTCTTTTTGTATTATTGGCGTGGCATCAAATGATGCTTACTATGCAGCAATTTTACCTTCAACCCTTGGGTTGAAACGAAATTTTGAGCTGAAATTATAAGATACACGTGTATGTTGCTAATGCAGATGTCTGAAATCTGTAACGAATCATTCTCAACATACTCTGGTTCACACTGTGTATGTCCAATCAGCATGTGAATCCACCTGAAATCACGGAACGGAACTTGCCATTACAGTATCCCCGTCAGCTTCACGTCAGCGTGCACGCCGCCATCCCCACAAGGACCCTTCGCCATCAAACTGCACCAACCCCATCCAAGCCATGGGGCTCAACCAACCACCGTGTGCACGCAAGTCCTGTGTGGGTGTCTACTCCTTTCCTTTCCTCCCATCCATATCGCCCTCACCATCATCTCTAGTTGTCGAATGTCGGCTTTGTGATGAAACCCTAGCGCCTGCCACCCTCTTGCGCCAAAACTTCCGAGTCCTCTGGGGTTTCCGAAGCAGAATGGCAGACTCGGAGTGCAGAGTGCAGTCATGGTCCAGCTTCTGACAAAGACAACAAGCTCTCGGTTCGGTTCGACTTGATGGCCCCATGGTTTGGTGGCATTCGTCACGAAGGGTCTTGCTCTCTGCACACTGTCACCACAACCACACGTATCTCGCGCCAAAATCTTCCTCTTTCCCCTCGATGACTCAACACGCAAGCTGTTTTGCGCCAAAAATGGCGAACCCACGGCATCTTCACCCAAGCTGAGTGCCAGGCCCGGCAAGCGATATTCTGACGCCCAGCCGACCGAACCAGCAGGGCGACGGCTTTCTGCGCTGGTTACAGACGTCGCAAACGGAGTCTGTGAGCAAGTCTGCCATGAGATGATGTAAAAAACCCTCATCGTGCCTGTCTTTGCTCAGTTCGCCATTACCATGCCACGTTTTCCGTCTTCTTGAGTTTCTTCTCTCCGCTTTCCCTTCCCTCCTCCCCTTCCCTCTTCCCCGTTTCTCCTCCCCACCATCCCTTATGGCGGCTGTTTTCCCTCCCCTAGAGCGTCCCCCATCATCCACTCCCCACGAGCCCAGCCCCTCCCCGTCCCTCCTCAAGCAAGTAGTTTCCTTTAGTTCCGAACCGCTAACAGAAACCAAGTCCAGCAAAAAGCATGGCGCCTTAGCTCGTTCCACGCAAGCACGCAGTCAACCAAGAACCGTCCGTAAATTAGTTTCTCCGCCTAACTTCCCGAAACTCGGCCAAGTGACGCCGCGCGGCATTCCCAGGATATCCGTAGCTGACCTAGTGTTGGAAGACGGCCCGCCCACATCATCCTACACTAAAGCCGCCGAGACGTTATACCTTTCCTTAGCTCGCCACGGCGCGGCGGTTATCGAGCCGGCACGCGACGATGTAGCGCTGCTGTGTAGGGCGTTAGAGTCGACGCGTCTGTACTTTCGGAAACGGGCCGAATCGGAGTCGTCGCCGCTGAAACCGTCAGAATGGAGCGACCGTGGCGGTTACTTCACCGCTCCGTCCAAGGACCTGTATTTCTACAAGGCTGGAAGGTGTGGAACATAAAGCTGCGTTATAATCGCCATTTAGTTCCGAAGTTATGTTTTGTAACGCGACGGGTTGATTGGGGATATTAGTTTTCACTGCCCTTTTTTTATTCCGTTTTTATTTTGTTTATGTGTGTTTGGCAGGTCGATGAACGAGGGACTGAACGATTTTTGTCCTCCTGGTTTTCCTGAAGCCTTTCGATGCAGTGGACGCGTTTCACGGCTTGCCATGTCCGCCATCGCTCGGCACCTGAAGCTTCGTGGCGAGTAAGTCATTGGCGAGTAATTATCTGTATTTTGTGCGTTCAACGTGGTAGTACTTCCGTCGTGGTTTTGTTTCGTTAATTTTGTTGGACTGTTTATTTAGTTGTTTTTTCCTCCTTTGCCTTCGGCGTTTTTACAGCTTCTTTTCAGGGTTGCTCGACGACTGCCCGTTGCCGGTCGGCGAAGTATCGTCGTCCGTTCTAGCCGCGACGTGCCAAAGGAGAGATCCTATCTCCGACCATTTCAAACCCGACGACGCGCATGGAAGCGTTTCAGAGGCATCGGAAACCGAGAAGGGCCTTCTGATGCTCGTCACAGCAGATTTCCCGGGCCTTCAGGTAACCCGTTTGTTTACGAAAATTATCGTTTTCGTTACTATTTCGTTGTCGGAGGCTGTGTAACAATCGACGTTCGTCGCGCAGGTGTGCAATTCCGAAGGTGTGTGGTCACCGGCGGATCAGGGCGTGCCGCCGGGAAGCCTGCTACTGCTTGCCGGCCGTTGCCTTCATCGCGCCACGGCCGGGCTCTGCCCCGCCTCCACCTACCGCGTGCTGCCGCCCGCCTCTGCGGGAGCCACCAGGTGACTTGCGGAAACGATTTTTTCGTGTTATGTTTCTTCTTTCCAAAGGTTATTTCTTATATCGTGACTTCTGGTTGACGATTTTTGTGTGATTGTTTTTTGTTACGCCTTCGCAGGTGTTCGTTGTCGTTCCGCCTGATGCCGCGCCCTTCAGCGCCGATTGACTGCTCTTCGCTGATTCACGCGGGTCACGCAGTCCCCTCAAGCATGCGAGCCGTCGTTCACGCTGGCCCGTTTCTTGATTCGCTGAGCTCCTATGCTCACGATCCTGCGAGCGAATCGAAGGAGTCAAGCATGGTGCGCCTCGTGCGTTTGTATATTGCCTTTGCTTTCATATGGTTTATGATTTTAGTGCTTTCTATTCTAACATATGGTTTTTTCCATGATGTTCAGGCTGTTGCGTGCAAGTTAGAAAAGGCTTCACTTTCGTCAATGGTTGTCGATCCTGCCTCGTAAGTGCGTGCGGATTTCCTGTTTTATGACTATACTCTCGGTCATAATCTAAACATTTCGTTTTAACTGTTTTCCAGAGGGTCTCTTCTCGAGGATGCAATGATTGCTCCGTGTGGCCATTCATTTGGTGGAGCGACACTCTCTCGAGTCATTGATTCTGTAAGTGCTCGTGATTGGCTTTAGAATCCCCCCATCAGCTCGAGCGACACCCATATCTTTCCTTTTTCTTTTCTTCCCCACCCATCTTTATGGGCATCAGCCCATTCCTCATGCACTAGATTCTCGTTTTTTTTCTAAGCTGTTCCACGTGTTCTTCGATCCATGTGCAGATGCTATGTCCTTATTGCATGGCCTCGGTTGACACCATGACTCTGATTCCCAACCTTGGTAAGCAGGCTTGCTTTCTTGACCACCCATCCACATCTCTCGCTTTCAGTGTTTAGAATCTGAACATTCTTGTCAAGGCAACGGAAGTTTATCCGAACATTCTTTCTCCAATCTTGCAGCCATGCGGTCAGTTGCGTCTTGCTTCCGCCCGGGCTTGTCGCATGGAGGCGGCGTGAAGGTCCCAAAGAGAAAGCGGGTGAAGGAGTTTGGAGAAGGGAAAGACCCGTCAGAAGCTGTCAAACGCAGACCTAAGGTGATGCATGCGTGGTGTGAGTCTTGACTCTTGACATTTTTGCGTCTTCAGATTTCTTGATTGAAGTCATGAATGCTGATTCGCCTTCTTCTTTGGATTCATGAGCAGACTGAAGATGCGATGCTTGCCAGCTCATTTGAAGGAGACACATTTGGCCGTCCAAAAGGAGTACAGTTCCCCTTTTCTGTCAATGACAAAGTTCTGATCAAGGTAACCATTTGTTTGCATTTGATTCTTCTTGAAGTTTAGTGTTTCTGGTTACTAACGACTTGTTCATTGTTGCAGGGAAACAAGCGCACTCCTGAGAAGTTTTTCGGGAGGGAGGCAATTATCACGTCTCAGTGCTTGAATGGCTGGTATGCTCTAGTTTTTTCCCCTGCACCATGCGAATGTTGTGTCATGCGTGTTACTGATTTGACTTTGCCCTGGATTTGCAGGTACCTGGTTCGCATGCTTGACTCTGGGGAAAGTGTTCGCCTGCAGTACCGCTCTCTTCAGAAAAGTGGTGAGTCCCATGTGTGCCACATGGCATGATTGCCATTCTTGAATTGCTGTTCATTTTTGTTGTTTTCCTGCCACCTTATTCATGTTTCGTTTTGTTGTTACCCTTTTACAGATGGAACACCTTTAGAGACTGGCGACGCTCGTCTCTCTAGCAGTCCGGATGCCCAGATGGAGAGGAAGGCTGGAGCAGACTCTACAGTAAGGTGGTGGGAGTCGAAGCCTGGGGTTGGAGAAATGTCGGCATTGCTGCAAGAAGATGACAAGGATGAGAAGCTTGGTCGACCGCTTTCGCTGGCGCTAGGAGAGGAGTCTGTCCCACGACCCTGTCCTGGTGGAGCTTCGTCCTCTTCTCTTCATGAACAGCCCCCCCTTTCGTCAACACCCAGTCATCCTGCCGTGAGGAATGCTGTTGATACGCGAGCAGCACCACGTGAGTCCCAAGCTTACTTGGGAGCACATGGATCAAGCCTCGCCAAGCAGACCCAAGCCTTGATTGCTGCAGCAGCAGCAATGGAAGAGGAATCAAGAGAGGCAACTGGGGACGACTGTGTGTCTGGTGGTAACCAGCAGTCATTTTCTCCTCGTGCCAACCAGCCTTCACTTGCGCATGAAGAGCAAAATCCAGGAGTTGTGGAAAACAGGCAGCGGGGTGTTTTTGCTACTCCAGATTTGGCCAGCAGGCAAAGACCAGAGCAAGCTGGCCCCCTTCCTCTCTGGATGTCACCAACAACGGCTACTTCGCTCTTGCATCAAGCAATTTCGGATGGCGCTAACAATTCAGGTCATGGTGGTGGTGGTTAACTGCAGACTTCCAGCTTCTGACCAGCTAATCTCGTCTAATTGTAGTCTAGTTTGGTGATCAACTGACTTCACTGACTGACCGACTGACCACCTGATTGACTGATCTGCATTGCCTTGTTTCTGAATGGTCTTTTGGTACTTTCCAGTCAGCATGTGCCAGCTGATTGGGTTTCTTGTTTTATGGGGTGATTCTGTTGTTCGTTAATTTTGTTAAGGCTGCCTGGATTGCAGCTGCTTATGTGTCGTTGGGAGATTTCCTGCTTTGCATGGATTTGCATATTCTGTTGATTTCAATTCTGTAAACACAATCTTGCAGATGTATCCATGCACTTTTACAGACGAGATGGCCTGTTATAGGGTCCAACCACAACGGCACTGTATCAAATGGCTCATCGAAAATCGTGAATGTCTGTAGTGCTGGTGCGATGAATGTCGTCCACACAAGTTTGACAGGAAAGGCTGCGCCAGCGCAACCTTCACCACAAAACTGCGATCGCGAAACCCCCTTTGGTTTCACCACAGGTTTCTGGACTTGCCGAACCTCTCATTCAGACGCGGCGTGTAGCTCTTAGCTGACGAGTTTCGTCCCGAACCAGTATGGCGAAAGGTATCACCGCTGGTTACAGCTCCTCGCAAACGGAGAAACGGCATCTTCAACTGTTGCGTTGGTGGAAACCCCTCGTTTTCAGCGTCGCCTATTTCCTTCGCTTCACTGCTCCAGCCCGCTTCTGTCACGTTTTCCGCTTTCCCGTCTCTTCCCGTTCTTTCCACATCCATGCTTTCCATTCATCATCATCCATTCCATCATCATTTTCATGCATTAGGGTTTCGTCAAGCAGCACAGCAGCAACATCTGTTCCGTTCTGTGGGCCATCCATCATCTGAACTGAAGCACCATCCCTCACTCCCCTCCCCCATCCTCCCTCATGGCTTCCGCCATCCCTAAATCCCTGAGCAACATCCCCCAACCTCCTCCGCAGTCCATGATCATCCTCGTGCCATATTACCACCTCCAGCAAAGCAAATGGTGATAAAGGAATGCCAGCCCAAGAGTGCAAGGAAGCGTAGCTCTCACGGCCGGAATTCGCAAGTTAGAGCTCAGGCTAATGCTGTAGAACCACCGGCAGGTGAAGCAGTTCAGATCGCCGCATTCGCGACGCCGCGTGCCGTTCCGAGGATATCCGTAGACGATCTTTTATTAGAAGACGGTCCGCCGTCGTCGTCGTTTACCCGCGCTGCCGAGACATTGTATCTTTCGCTCGCACAGAACGGAGCAGTGATTCTGGAACCCGCGCGACACGATGCCGCGTCCTTGTGTAGAACGTTGGAATCCGCGCGGCTTTACTTTCGCCGACGAGCAGATCCGTCGTCGTCGTCGTCGCCGTCATTCCCGGAACAGCCTGCGTGGAATGACGGCGGAGGTTACTTCCAGGCACCTTCCAAGGACTTGTACTTTTACAAAGCCGGCAGGTCGTTGAACGAAGCAATCAGCGACTCCTGCCCACCGGGGTTTGCGGAAGCGTTCAAGTACTTGGGGAAGGTCTCGCGGTCCGCCATGTCAGCTCTCGCTCGCCATCTGAAAGTCCGCTGCGAGTACGTCCTCCTATTCCTGCATTGAGACGTTTCTTGAGACGTTCAGCTAGTTGTCGCTGATGGGTCTCAGCAGTCGTCGTGTGGAGGTTCGTTCCGAAAATGTCGTCTCGTCTTCTCACCGTCGAGCGTGTATCTCGTGTTTTCGCCCGACCCGGTTCACCAGTTTTCAGCAGAATAATTTTGTTGTTGCCCGTGTTCAACGTCGGATTTTTTTTGTTAATTGCCATTATCCTCCTCGCAACTTCCCTGCAGTTTCTTCTCGAGTCTGCTCGACGACCGTCCGTTGCCGATCGGCGAGGTGTCCTCCTCCGTGCTCGCCGCATCATGCCAGCGCATCCAATCTCCTCGAGACGATTCCGCCAGAGTGACACCGGATGCCACTGAAATTGAAAAGGGGCTTCTCATGCTTGTCACAGCCGATTTTCCAGGCCTCCAGGTACCGTATACACCATTAGTCCTGCAGGGTTTAGCCAATGTGCCAGCCTGTTAGAGGTCAGATTTTCAACTTTTGCCGCTGTCGTTTAAGGGTGCATTGCTGCGGGCGCTGCTGCTGGCAGGCGTGCGGAATTCGAGGACATGTGGTAGCAAACAATTTGCCATTTTTTTGGCGCAGGTGTGCAATTCCGAGGGCGTCTGGTCGCCGGCGGACCAGGGCGTGCCGCCGGGAAGCTTGCTGCTGCTTGCCGGCCGTTGCCTCCATCGCGCCACGGCCGGCCTCTGCCCCGCCTCCACCTACCGCGTGCTGCCGCCCGTCTCCTCGGGAACCACCAGGTATCTTATGTTGAAAATAAGAATTACAAAGGGGTTTTTCGTTATGTTTTTCCTATCCAACTGTGCTCCCGCCCTCGTCGTCGGAAGCAACGTCGTGAGAGGTCCCTTGATGGTTTAGTTGAATGTCATTTCTTCGGATTGACGCCCGTTCGAGTCTGTTCCCAACCCTTGTGCTATGGTGCCTTGGCCTGCTGTACCTCGGGCCGCTGCAGGTGCGCCCTCTCGTTCCGCCTTATGCCGCGGACGGTCGCCGTGATTGCCTGCGCCGTCCTTTCCCCCTCACCCCCTTCCACACACTCTCCTGATTTCATTCCCGCCTTTCTAACCCTGTCTGCTGTGCCGTCGCCTGCTGCAGGTGCGCGCTCTCGTTCCGCCTCATGCCGCGCCCATCCGCGGTGATCGACTGCGCCGTGCTGGCGCACGCGGGCCACGCCGTGCCCGCCGCTATGCGCGAGAGTGTGTGCGCGGGGGCCTTCATGGACGCGCTGGGCCCGTCCGCCTCCGCCGCCGACCTGGGAAGCAGCGACAGAGAATCCAGCCTGGTGAGTCCTTGCGGAGTTAGACTGCTGCGCCGTGCTCGCGCGATCATGGGCGAGCGTGGGCGATCATGGGCGAGCGTGGGCGATCATGGGCGAGCGTGGGGGATGATGGGCGAGTGTGGGCGATCATGGGCGAGCGTGGGCGATCATGGGCGAGCGTGGGCGAGCGTGGGCGATCGTGGGGGATCATGGGCGAGCGTGGGGGAATCATGGCCGAGTGTGGGCGATCATGGGCGAGCGTGGGCGATCATGGGCGAGCGTGGGCGAGCGTGGGCGATCATGGGCGAGCGTGGGTGATCATGGGCGAGCGTGGGCGAGCATTGCTGGGCACCCACTTGAGTTGCCAAATGTTGCTCTTTGCCCGAACAGTGGTGTACATGCTGAGTATAATCAATCAAATCCGTAATTAGTACCACGCATCAAATCGGAGCCCTCCTTGTTTTTTCCCCTCGTTTCTCAACATTGCTCGTCCGTGTGTCACCAGGCTGTGTCATGCAAGCTGGAGAAGTCGTCTCTTGCCTCCATGGTCTCGGACCCTGTCTCGTACGTTGGGGGGGGGGGGGGGGGGGGGGGTAGAGAGGGAGGTAGGGAAGTAGGGGGTTTTCCCTCGCATGCCTGTCACCAGGCCATATCTCGCAAGCTGGGAAAGTCGTCTCTTGCCTCCATGGTCTCGGACCCTGTCTCGTACGTTGGGGGCAGAGACGCGAGCGAGGGAAGCAGCAGGAGAGAATATGAAAGAAGGAGGGATGAAGCAAGAGAGACCAGGGGCTCAATGGGTTAAAGACGGGGGTGCGCGGGGGAGGAAGAGTGAAATGAGTTCGGGAAGTAGGAGGCGGAGGTGGTGAGGGAGATAGGGAGGTGGAGAGGTAGGGAAGTTGAGGTAGACGTAGTCACGTAGGGAGGAAGGGAGGTAGATGTAAGGAGATGGTTGCAGGGAGAGGGGTGTATGGAGGTAGAGAGGGTTGGAGTGATGCAGATAGGGAGGGAATGAAGCACTGAACTGCATGCTGCTCTGCTCGTGTTTGCTGCAAGGGGTCGTTGCTGGAGGGAGGATGTGATGGGATGGTGGCCCAGTGTGGGCACGCCTTTGACGGAGAGTGTTGGAATGAAGTGCTGACTTGTGTGCTGCTGTCATGTCATGTACCTTTGTTGTGTGCTGCTACTGTGTGTGTGCTGTTGTGTTGTGTGTGCTGCAGGGGCTCGCTGCTGGAGGATGCCATGGTGGCTCAGTGTGGGCATTCCTTCGGCGGAGCAACACTCGCAAGAGTCATGGACTCGGTAAGCACCTCCTGCCTTCCCTCGTTCCTGTTTGTGCGTCTCAATATTGAGTTCTGAGAAGGCTTTAAATTTGAGTTCTGAGAAGGCTTTAAGTTTGAGTTCTGAGAAGGCTTCAAGTTTGAGTTCTGAGAAGGCTTTAAATTTGAGTTCTGAGAAGGCTTTAAATTTGAGTCTGAGAAGGCTTTAAATTTGAGTCTGAGAAGGCTTTAAATTTGAGTTCTGAGAAGGCTTTAAATTTGAGTCTGAGAAGGCTTAAATTTGAGTTCTGAGACGTTCCAAGCTGGACTCGGTAAGGAGTTCCTTCCGTCATGTCTGTTTATGGCTTGCTATTCAGTCCCGTGCTGCAGCCACCTTGCATAGTTTTCGTGCTCTACCTGCCACTTTTCCACATGTCTTGCCTCATCACGTGCTCTGCCTCACATGCCCTGCCTCACATGCCCTGCCTCACAATGCTCCATGGCTCCTGCCTGCCTCTCTTGTGCTCTGCAGATGGTGTGTCCATACTGCATGGCGCCTGTTGACGTCATGGCGCTCATTCCCAACCTCGGTAAGCGGTCTGCCTGGGCTCATTCCCATTCTCTCACATTCCCTCACATTCCCTCACATTCCCTCACATTCCCTCGCATTCTCCCATTCTCCCACCTCACCTCCGTGTGCCATGGCGCCTGCTTGCGTGCAGCTGTGAGGTCCGTGGCATCATGTTTCGGCAAGGGTGTGCTGCACTGCACCACACAGGGGCTAGGAGGGGTGGGCCATGTCACCACTCACATTGTCCCATTCTCCCTCCTCACCTCCGTGTCACCTGCTTGCGTGCAGCTGTGAGGTCCGTGGCATCATGTTTCGGCAAGGGCGTGCTGCACCACACAGGGGCTAGGAGGGGTGGGCCATGTCACCACTCACATTGTCCCATTCTCCCTCCTCACCTCCATGTCACCTGCTTGCGTGCAGCTGTGAGGTCCGTGGCATCATGTTTTGGAAAGGGCCTGCCGCACCACACAGGGGTCGGGGCTGGGCCGGGCGCAAAGGCGCACAAGAGGAAGCGAGACAAGGAGCACACAGGGGAGGGCAAGCTGTTGCCAGACGGCTCCCTGCCTCAACCAGTCAAGCGCCGCCCCAAGGTGTTGTGCCTGCTCTCCTCTCCTCTCCTTTCCTCTCCTCTCCTCTCCTCTCCTCTCCTTTCCTCTCCTCTCCTCTCCCTCTCCTTTCCTCTCATCTCCTCTCCTCTCCCTCTCCTTTCCTCTCCTCTCCTCTCCTCTCCCTCTCCTCTCCTCTCCTCTCCTCTCCTCTCTCTCAACCTTCCTCTCTTCTCTCCTCTCCCCTCTTATCTTCTTCCTTTCAACAAAACAGTATCATTCTCTCCCTGCGCTTTGTTCTCATGCTTGAAGCGATGCTTTTCTGTAGCAATGATAAGCCTTTTTTGGGACTGGAGCGTCATTGATATGGTGCTGTCCCTTGTTGTGTTGTGCTGTGTGTGTTTGAGCAGCCTGAGGACTCGGGGCTTCTCGGGTCTCCTGATGCTGAAGGTGGTGGCCGCCTGAAAGGCGTGCAGTTCCCATTCTCCGTCAACGAAAAGGTTCTGATAAAGGTAAGAGCTCCTTCACGTCCTTCACGTTTCTCGATTGTTTGTTTTTTTTAATCATTTTCACTGTAGTGGGCTGCGAACGCGTTGCTGATGACTCTCCATGGTTTGACGTGCAGGGGAATAAGCGAACGCCTGAGAAGTCCTTTGGCAAAGAGGCAGTGATCACTTCTCAGTGCCTCAACGGCTGGTGGGTGCTTCTCTCTCTGTGTCTGTCTGTCTGTCTGTCTGTCTGTCTGTCTGTCTGTCTGTCTGTCTGTCTGTCTGTCTGTCTGTCTGTCTGTCTGTCTGTCTGTCTGTCTGCCTCTGTCTTTCGTTCTTTTTGGATGCCTAAAAGTATGTGCGTGCTCCCATCCCATGTTTGTTCTACCTGTACAATTTGTCAGTTGATTGACAGACAGCGTGTCTCTCTGTCTGTGTGCCTCTGCCGCAGGTATCTCGTGCGAGTGCAGGACTCGGGGGAAAGCGTCCGTCTGCAGTACCGTTCTCTTCAGAAGTGTGGTCAGTGCACCGCTGCACTGCACCTCCTCCCATCCCATCCCACTGCTCATTTTTGCATGTCTAGAAAGTTGCCTCCTTTTGTTTTGTAAACGCCTTGTTTTCTTTCTCTGTCTTGCGAGAACCCACTTATCGCTTGCTTTGTCAAGCGTGTTTCTGTATGTAATTCTGACGCGCCTAAAAACCATCCTCTGCATATCTTGTTCAGATTGACAACCACCCAACCTAACATCCTTGCTATATATATGTATATATGTATATATGTATATATGTAATATGTATATATGTATATATGTATTTTTGTATACATGTATATATGTATATATGTATATATACATACATATGTACACACACATCCCCTCCCCCCCCCCCCCTCCTCTCCCCCCTCCTCTCCCCCCACGTCTCCAGATGGAACGCCAGTGGAAGCCAAGTATGAGGCGCACCATGCGAGCACAGCAGAGGCACAGGCAGAGGAAGCAGGGGCGGGCGGAGATGGCAAGAGCTGGTGGGGCGACGAGGGGGAGAAACGCCTGATGGGTGAACAGCCAATGATGGGCGACGTGTCAGTCTCACAGCCAATCATAGGCGAGATGTCAGCCTCTCAACCAATGATGGGCGAGATGTCAGCGCTGCTCCAAGCAGACGACGACTCAGACCACCCACCGGCCTTTTCAGACGACACTCTCCTCCCTCACAACCCATCCAACAGCATGTCTGTATCCCCATCTCTGCTCGGACAGTCATTTGACCACTCGCAGAAACCTTCCAGCAGCAGCACTCCTCTATCCCCATCTCTGTTGGGACAGTCCCTCATGCTGTCTCCCCCATCCAGCAGCCATCTGGCAATGCTGAGCTCACCGCCTATGGAAGGTCGTGCAGCCATGCTGACCTCACCACCGCCGCCCAACAGCCATGCAGCAATGATGAGCCCGCCGCCGCCCATGGGCGGGCGGCTGTCCAGTGTGGCGGAGTCGAGCTGTTTTGGGGCGGCTCAGAAGCAGCAGCAGGCTGGTCAACTGGCAATGCCAGTGCAGGGCTTGCAAGGAGGAGGGGGGGCTTCTGGGGGTGCAGAGGCAGGGGGGTGTGGGAGTGAAGTGCCAGGGTTGGGGCTGTCACCTGGGCAGCAGCAGCAGCAGCAACAGCAGCAGGGGGGGTCTCTGCTGGCCCAAGGGACGCATGCACTGATTGCAGCAGCCGCAGCTGTGGAAGCCGAGTGCAGGGGGGAAGCGGCTGGTGGGGATGTTGATGGTGGTGCTGGTGGTAATGGTGCTGGTGGTGATGGTGCTGGTTCTGGTGGCGGTAGGGCTCCCCTTGCTACCAGTGGAAGGCAATACAGGGGCGTACAGGGCAGCAAACATGGGGCCGGGGCGGGTCGGTCGGGCAGTGTGGCTGATAGACGGCCATCGGAGCAGCAAGGGCCGCTGCCCCTGTGGATGTCACCCGACACGGCAACCACGATTCTGCACCAGGCGATTTCAGATGCTGGTGGTGCTGGCAATGTGGAGCGTGGTGATGGGGAGTTGGGAGCGGTGAACAATCAGGCTGGTTAGTGTACATCTTGGTGTGCATTTCTTTTGAGTTTGGATGCCAGTGGGTGGTGTACAGGTTTCATTTTATTCATGAGTACTAATGGCAGGCATGAGATGCAGCCACTAGGGCTGCAATTGTGTCTGGTATAGGCTGTGCCCTGGATGGGTGGGTGGGAGTCCCCTGTTTCTGTATGAATGCCAAATCCCTTTCAGTTGTGTAACAATTGTTCTGCATACACCTGCTTGCAATGGGGTATGCAGCTCAAGCAGTTGAATCGACATGATGTAAATAAAACATGGAGTTTATGTAAAGTGTACCGAGTCACGCCATGCGTCCTAGATTCTGCCTTGAAAAGTCAAGAGATGCCGGGCAGCAACTCACGGATTTCAGGGGCGCCGGCCAAAAGATTCGGGCCAATGCCGCTGCGTCTCACGCGCTGTTGTCGCTGCGCTTGTGTCTCTCTACCCATCTGATTGGTCTTCGGAGGTCTTCGGTCCGAGGTGAAGATTTTCGTGTGTCCAAGGTCCAAGGTCATTGGACATGGATCATTGTTCATGGATCACATGCATCCATGTTGTACCTTTTCGTCATACAGTACATGTTCTGTAAGTTATGTCATGTCATGTCACCATCCCCTCCCCTGGTTTGTGGGTGGGTTGCACCATGCGTACCAAACCTCATGAGGGATTGAACTTCCATCGCCATCGCCGTCGCCATTCCATAGCCATCGCCTCCCCATCCCCACCCCATCCCCATCCCCACCCCATTCTCCCGATGACCTCGGTTTTGCCGATGACCACAGGTTTCTCCCAGCAGCCCCCCCGTTTCGACCGTATGTGGTTGGTGTTCATCTCGATGTTGCCAAATAATGCTGGGGATGACCCAGCCAGCAGCACCATTTTGGTGCCAAATGTGTGGAATCAATGCTGAGGAGGGAGTTTCAGCCATGGCTCCGTAGCGTACCTCCCGCCACAGCAGATTGCCGCAGGAACAGACGTTCTTAAAGAGATTAGCTTGATCCGCACGTACATAAATCCTCGTTTCCCTTGTCTCCCCGTCTCTTATCTCGCGTGTAATCCCGCCAAAAGCCGAGCAATTTTCTAGATTCAGATTCCAGAAGGAAACCACCAACCCACGACAGCGAGTCCTCCGTTCCCCAATGCCTATGTGCCACGTAGCTCGTGTCCGTCAGCCATTGGGTGAGAAATACCGGCTTCTGGTCAAGCGCCTTGGTCGCCGTCGATCCAGGGCAGCGAACATGTCGTTGACGGTCAAGATGCCAGGTTAACCGCCGTCGATATTTCATGAATAGAAGGTGCACCCGCCGGGCATCCCAGCTTTCATCGGCATTGCCCGATCTTTCTCGCTTCGCCTTTCTTTCTCGCTCTTCTCTTGCGCTTCTCCCATTTTTCCCTCGCTTATAACTTCCCGCCATCGTTCGCCAGAGTGTTGTCTTCAGATCGTCTCCCCCAGTGCCCCATCGCCTCATTCCTCTCGTCACTCGCTCCTCTACTAATTCCTCCCCTCACTTACCTCTTCTCGCCATCGTTCGCCACGGTGTTGTCGTCAGACATCTCCCCCATGGCCCCATCCTCTCCCTTCCTCTCGTCACTCCGGGGTTGTTTGTGTCGACTCAAAACACACCTTTTGAGTCGACTCGAGACACATCATTCGCCACGGTTCGCATCATCTCCCCCATTGCCCCATCAGCTAATTTCTCTCGTCACTCCGTCCTCTTCTCTCCCCTCCTCTCGCCGCCGCTATCTCGCTCTTATTATCCCGCCGCTATTGTTCATGGGTGAAAGAATAGACACGGCAGTTGACTTTACGTTCAACGTAATTTTAAGGAATAAGTTATTCCTTCCTGTCTCTCCCCTTGTTCCCCCTCTACCAGGTAGGGGTGGCGGAACGGGCGGAGCTTGAGGCGGAAACTCCTCACTGGGATAGCCGTGGGTTTCAAGATCCTCCTTTTCTGTGTTTCCCCCGTTTCCCCCTCTACCAGGCAGCGGTGGCGGAGCAGGCGGAGCTTGAGCGCGGAAACGCGGCCATTGCCGCCGCTGCCCCACTGCAGCCGCCGTCATTGACGATTGAGTCGACTCAGAAGTCATCTAGAAGCGCCAATCCTGCCGACGCCTTCTCTCCACAACCGCCCCGCTTTCGTGCACTGAATCCTGGGACAAATCCCTCAATAGCTGTCGTCCGAAGCCTGTCCAAACCATTGTCAATCCCGTCTAAGTTATACATAAAGAAAGGCCTGTCCTCGTTCGCGTAAGCGAATCACGGCTTCTATTTCTCGCTCGCCCAAGCGAGCGAATCAGGGCTCATTACCGGCCCTTAGCCGCAGTTCGCCGGCAGCTGGCTCCGCCCTGACGATTTTCTTCGAGGCGTTTGAAACAACGCTCGCGCCGAAGCCCATCAGGACTTATTTACTGCTAGCCCCCGCTTGCACTGTGCTAGCAGCTGGCTTAGACTTAATCATCTTCTCTTGAGGCGCTTCAGAAACCGTGGAGGCGAATCAGAGCCTACGAGCCCTCCTAGTGTGCTGGATAGCCCAGCCTATCCTTGAGGAGCCTCAGAAATAAGTTACAGACCGTCCGCCTAAGTTACAGACCGTCCGCCTAAGCTACAGACCGTCCGCCTAAGTTGCAAGCCGTCCGCTTAAGTTCGACCTCCCACTAAGTCACAAACGACAGACCAAGGCCGGGCGAATCAGGGCCTACAAGCGACTCTCCACCGGGTTTCCATTCCGTGTCGCCACTCCCGCGTCCTGCCACCGCTGCAGTCTGCCCGCCCTTCGGGTCTTCCCTCACCTCTCCTCGTGGCGCCGACTCTTTATCGGGAGTCCATTCACTCGTGCTATATCCCGTCTCGCTGCTCCTGAGGCCTCCTGTGGGGTGAAACGGGCGGAGTGACAGACAGCCAGTATTTGGGCTGTCTAGGGTTGCCTTCTTGTTAACCCGAACCGTCCGATGGACTCCCCTTGTGAGGATCGCTCGGTTGTAGCAGCACCAAAGGAGCCCTCGGTTGTAGCTGCACCTGCAGAGTCTCCAGTTGTTGCAGCACTTGAGAAACCGTCGGCTGTAGCAGCAGCGTCTGCGAGTGTGTCTGAGACGGTATCAGAGGCCTGCCATGTCGTCGTGAACATGGACTTGCTCACACCCCCGGTTGCAGCCTCTCCTGGTGAGGGCTCGGCTGTAGCAACGGCCGAAAAGTGCAGCGCGGAGTGCGAGGAGGAAAACGAGGATGGCAAGAATAGGGGGCATGGCATGGGAGAGGGAACCCATGGCAGTCCGACAGTAGCTAAGCAAAGGGTTGCTGCAAGCGAAGGAGAGCTCGTGAGGGTGAGAGGCGAAGAAAGGAAGGCTTTTGAGACGCGTATCTTGGAGTTAGATGGGGAGAGGAGGCGGCTGGAAGGAGAGAAGGAGGAGATGGAGAGGAGTGTGGGGGAGGAGGTGCGGCGGAGGAGGGAGGTGGAGGATGAGGTGGAGGACCTTAGGTCCGGCATGCGCCTTGCCGAGGCTAAGCTCTGGCAATGGATGGAGGCTCGGAAGGGGGAGAGCGTGGGAGGAAGAGGAGGAGGAAGCGGCGGTGTGGAATGTGGAGGATTGGAAGGGGAGGCAAGGGCTGCGAGTGCTGCTGCTGGTGATGCAGGCTCTGCTGCGGCTACTGCTGCTTCTCATGCCGCTGCTGACGTGGCCGCGTCTGAAGTGGCGACTGCTGACGTGGCGACTGCTGACGTGGTAGGCTACATGGAGGATCTCCTCCTCCACCAGTCCTGCATGCTGGCACGTGAGCGAGCGCGACGAGCGGAAGCTTCCAGGAAACGAGAGGAAGCAGAGGGGCGGCGGGAAAAGGCGGAGCGCGCCCTGAGGGAGTTTCAACGGCAGGTGGGAGTTTCGGAGCTGGCTTTAAAGGTTAAGGCGGAAAACCAGTGGGAGGATCAGCTTTTGAGGGAGATTTGCTCGGTGGAGAGAGATGTGGAGGAGTTGAGGGGAGTGGTGAAGGAGAAAGACGGGGAACTGGAGAGGCTGAGGGTGGAAGTTTCGAGGAAAGTAGAGCTTCTGAGGCGCGTGCATGGGCGAGCGATGAAGATGAGGGCGGACGCGAAGGGGACGATCCGACGGCTGAGATTGGAGCTGCAGACGGCGCGGGGGTTGCTGGAGAGGAGGGAGGAGAGGGTGAGGGAGAAGGGGAGGGCGTTGAGGGGAGAGATTAGTGTGTTGGTGCAGGAACTTGAGGAGATTAGGGGTGGGAATGAGGCGGTGGTGTGTGTGTTAGAGGAGGCGAGGAAAGAGGTGGTGGAGGAGAGAAAGGAGATTGAGAAGGGGAGGAGGGAGGTGGAGGAGGCTGTGAGGGAGGTGCGGAAGCTGCAGAATGGGAAGGATGAGGAGGAGGGGGAGAAGGAGAAGGAGAAGGAGAAGGAGGGTGAGAGGAGAGAGGAGGGAGAGGAGGGATCCGCTAATAGGGAAGGAGAGGAAGCTAGGGAGGGAGAGGGGAGTGGGGGGAATGACACTAGTGGTATGAACAATCTGCTGCTGGTCCAGGAGGACATGAGGAGGCGAGAGGAAGAGTTGCAACGAGAGGCGGAGCAGGTGAGAGAGTGGCTGCACGCGGAGAGGCAGCAGCGCGCCCTCCTGGAACAGCAGCTGGCGGCATTGGAAGAACAGATAGAGGGGTTGAAAGAGGCGCGGAGTGGTGCTGAGGCGACTCAGGAAAAGCAGCTGGCGGATTTGGAAGAGCAGATTGAGGGGCTGAAAGCGGCTCGGAAGGGTGCGGTTGAGCAGATGGAGAGGGAGAGGAGAGAGTGGGTGGAGGAGAGGAAGAGGGAGAGGGTGGGGAGAGAGGAGGAGAGGGAGCGGGCGGAGAGGGAGATGAAAGAGAGAGTGGAGGAGGAGGAGGGGAGGAGGAGGGATGTGGAGGTGGAAGTGAGAGAGCTGAAGGAGAGGCTTGGTGGCGAGGAGGAAGAGAGGAGGAAGGCGGAGGAGGAGAGAGAGGGAGTGAGGGAGAGAGTGAGGGAGTTGGAAGCAGAGTTGGTGGGAGTGAGGGAGAGTCTTCAGAAAGTTGAGGAGGAGAGGAGGGAGGCGGAGGAGGGGAGGGTGAGAGCGGGGGAGGAGTGGAAGAGAGAGAAGGAGGAGGTAGAGAAGGGGGTGGAGGAGGAGAGGAGGAGGAGAGGGGATGCGGAGGAGGAGGTGGTGAGGCTGAAGGAACGTGAGGTGGCATTGTTGACTGCGTTGACTGAGGAGACTGGGAAGGTGGGAACGCTGGAGGCTGCTTTGGCGGAGCGAGAGGCGAGGATATCCTCGATAGAAGCAGAGATTCGCTACAAGGAGGTACGTGCTGGTGAGTTGGAAGCGAGGGTTAGAGAGCTGGAGGGGAGGATTGAGGAAGGTAGGGTTGAGTTTGAGAAGGAACGGAGGAGGATGGAAGCGGAGAGGAGAGAGGAGAATGTGGTGAAGGAGAGGGAGAGGGAGGAAGAGAGGAAGGAGAGGGAGGAAGAGGAGAGGAGGCAAGCTGCAGAGGCGGCTGAAAGAGAGGCGGAACGAGAGGCAGAGATGAAAGCGAAGGAAGAGGCGATTCAAAGGCTGGAAGCAGTAGTTATGGAGCTCAGAGAGAAGGCTTGTGAGCTAGAGAAGCAGCGAGGAGAGAAAGAGGAAAAGGTGAAGGGTTTAGAGGAGGAAGTGAGAGAGCTTGGGGATATGGTTGCAGTGCTGCAGGCTGGAATAGCTGCGAAACGAGCGGAGCTAGCAGCCAAGGCGGCTGAATCGGAGAGGATGGGTCAGCTGGAAGAGCAAGTGAGGGACGGGGAGGAGCGAGTGAGGGAGAGAGAGGAGGAGGTGAGGAGGCTTGAGGAGAGAGTGAGGGAGGTGGAAGGGGAGATGGAGGAGTTGTCGGTGCAGGTGAGTGCGTTGAGAGGGGAGGTGGAGGCGAAGGAGGGGGAGAGGGAGGAGGTCGAGAGGAAGGGGAGGAAGAGGGAAGGGAGGGTGAGGGAATTGGAGGAGGAGATTGGGAGGAGAGAGAAGAGGGAGAGAGAGATGGAGGAGGAATTGGGTGTGAGGGAGAGGAGGATTGGGGAGCTTGAGGGGTTGATGAGGGAGAGGGTGAGGGAGGTGGAGGGGAAGGAGAGGGAGAGGGAGGAGATAGAGAGGGAAATGGAAGGATTGAAGGGAGAGAGGGAGGAATGGCAGAGGGAGAAAGAGGAATTGGAAAGGCAGATTGATGGATTGCGGAGGGAGAAGGAGGAGTTGAATGGGGAACTGGAACGGTTGAAAGGAGCATTGGAAGGTGTGAAGGGCGAGAAGGAGGAATTGGAGAGGCAGATTGAGGTGATGCGGAGGGAGAAGGAGGAAGTGAAAGAGGAGTTAGAGCGACTGAAAGAAGAGCTGGAAAGTGTGAAGAGGGAGAGGGAGGCAAGGCTGCAAGCAAGCCAGGCAGAGGTGAGGGGGGAGAAGGAGAAGCGGTCGATGCTGGAGGAGAGGGCGCAGTTGCTTCAAGACAGAGTCGTGCAGGTGGAAAGGGAGAGGGAAGAGACGTCAGGTCAGTTGGAGGAGAGGACACGCGAGCTGGAGGAAAAGAGAGAAACGGTGGGGCAGCTGGAGAAGACAGTGAATGAATTGGAGGAGAGGGTGCAGTCGCTGCAAGACAAGGTGGTGCAGGTGGAAGGGGAGAGGGAAGAGACGGTAGGTCAGTTGGAGGAGAGGACACGCGAGCTGGAGGAGAAGAAGGAAATGGTGGGACAGCTGGAGAAGACAGTGAGGGGACTGAATGAGCGGTTGCAGATGCTTGAAGACAGGGTACGGCAGGTGGAAGGGGAGAGGGCGGAAACGGTAGCGCAGCTGAAGAAGACCGTGTGTGAAGTGGAGGAGAGGAAAGAGAGAGTGTGTGAGCTGGAGAAGAAAGTTTTTGAGCTGGAAGAGAAGGTGCAGTTTGTGCAAGAGGAGAGGAAGGAGGTGGTGGGGCAGCTGGGAAATAAAATATTTGAATTGGAGGCGAAGAAAGAGAGAGTGTGCGAGCTGGAGACGAGTGCTTGTGAGCTGGAGAAGAGAGTCTGTGAGCTGGAAGAGACGGTGCGGTGCCTGCAAGAGGGGAGGAAGGAGGTGGTGGGGCAGCTGGAGGAGAGGGTCCGCGAGGTGCAGGAGAAGAACGAGAGGGTGTGTCAGTTGGAGAAGGAAGTATTTGAGCTGGAGGAGAGGGCGAATTCCCTGCAAGAGGAGAGGAAGGAGGTGGTTTACCAGCTGGGAAATACGAAATTTGAACTGGAGGCGAGGAAAGAGAGAGTGTGCGAGCTGGAGAAGAGGGTTTCTGAGATGGAGGTAAGGGTACAGTCTGTGCAGGAGGAGCGGAAGCAGGTAGTGTGTGAGCTGGAAAAGAGGGTTTGCGAGCTGCAGGAGAGGAAGGATGCGGTATGTCAGTTGGAAAAGAGAGTTTCTGAGCTGGAGGAAAGGGTGCAGTCTGTGCAAGAGGAGAGGAAGGAGGTGGTCTACCAGCTGGGAAATACGAAATTTGAGCTGGAGGCGAGGAAAGAGAGGGTGGTTGAGTTGGCGAAGGAGGAGGTCGTTTCACGGGCGAGAATCGCTGAACTGGAGAACAGGGAGACTGTTCTGCAGGCGAGATTAGTAGAGGTGGAGTTGGAGAGGGAGGTGGAGGAGAAGGAGGGTGCTTTGCAGGCGAGAGTTGCTGAACTGGAGAACAGGGAGACTGTTCTGCAGGCGAGATTAATAGAGGTGGAGAAGCAGGGGGGTGTCTTACAGGCGAGAGCGGTCGAGTTGGAAAGGCAGGAGGTTGCTTCACAGGCGGCGTTAGCAGAACTGAAGGAGAAAAGGGATATTTTGGAGGCGAAAGTGGTTGAGATGGAAACGAAGGAGGTTGCTTCACAGGCGGCGTTAGCAGAACTGAAGGAGAAGGGAGATGTTTTACAGGCGAGAGTGGTTGAGCTGGAGAAGCAGGTGGAGGAGGGAAGGGAGGAGGTGGAGCGAGGGAGGGAGGAGGTTGAGAGGGTGAAGCGAGAGAGGGAGGAGGCGAGGGAGAGAGTGTGGGTGGTGGAGAAAGAAAGGGAGATAGGGGAGGAGGTGTTGGTGGGGTGGAAGAGGGAGGTGGAGGAGAAAGAAGGGGCGGTGGTGGGGTTGAGGGGCGAGTTGACGGAGAAGGAAGAGGCTTTGAAGGAGCTGGAAGCGGTGTTGGTGGGTGTGAGGGGAGAGTTGACGGAGAAAGAAGAGGCTTTGAAGGAGCTGGAAGCGGTGTTGGTGGGTGTGAGGGGAGAGTTGAAGGAGAAGGAAGAGGCTTTGAAGGAGTTGGAAGGGGTGGTGGTGGGTGTGAGGAGGGAGTTAAAGGAGAAGGAAGAGGTTTTGAAGGAGCTGGAAGGGGTGGTGGTGGGTCTGAAGGGAGAGTTAACGGAGAAGAAGGAGATTCTGAAGGGATTGCAGAGTGAAGTGAAGGAGAAAGAAAGTGAGGTGGCGAGTCTGATCAGGGAGTTGAAAGTAAAGGAGGAGAATCTGGAGGAGCTGAAGGGGAAGTTGGAGGAGTTGGAAGGGGTGATGGTGGAGTTGAGGGGCGAAGCGAAGGGGAAGGAAGGCGAGGTGGCGAAGTTGGTGCGAGGAATGGAGGAGAAGGATGCGGCTGTGAAGCGGTTGACGGGGGAGGTAGAGGGGTTGAAAAGGAATTTGGAGGAGTCTAACGGGGAGAGTGCACGGTTGATAGGGGAGCTGCGAACGGCACTGGGGGAGAGGGAGGATGAGTTGAGGGCAGTTGAGGATGAGAGGAAAGGCGTGCAGGCCGAATTGGAATGGAAGGAGGGAGAGTTGAGGGCTGTTGAGGAGGAGAGGAAAGGCGTGCAAGCAGCATTGCAACAGAAGGAGGGCGAGTTGAAGGCCGTGGAGGATGAGAAGAAAGGCGTGCAGGCAGAATTGGAGTGGAAGGAGAGGGAGTTGAGGGCTGTTGAGGAGGAGAGGAAAGGATTGCAGACAGAATTAGAACGAAAGGAGGGCAAGTTGAGGGCAGTAGAGGAGGAAAGAAAGGGCGTGCAGGCAGAACTAGAACGAAAGGAGGGCGAGTTGAGGGCAATGGAGGATGAGAGGAAGGGCATGCAGGCAGAATTAGATTGGAAGGAGGGAGAGTTGAGGGCTGTAAAGGAGGAGAGGAATGGCCTGCAGGCAGCATTGGGGGAGAGGGAGGGCGAGTTGAGGACAGCTGAGGATGAGAGTAAAGGCGTGCAGGCAGAGTTGGAATTGAAGGAGGGCGAGTTGAGGGCAATGGAAAAGAGTCTGGAGGACAAAGAGAAGAAAGTTCTGCTCTTGACTGAGGCAGTGAGCAGCAAGCAGCAGGAGATCAAAGTGTTGAAGGGAGATATGGAGGTGTTGAGAGAGGAAAGTGCAGTGATGCGAGGTAAGGCTGGCGAGGTGTTGAGAGAGGCGAGGGAGAAGGTGACAGCGCTGGAAGCACAGATGAGCGGAAAGCAGCAAGAGATTAAAGTGTTGAAGGGAGAGATGGAAGTGTTGAGAGAGGAAAGCGCAGTGATGCAAGAAAAGGCTGGTGAGACGTTGAGAGAGGCGAGGGAGCAGGTGGCAGTGCTGGAAGCACAGATGGGGGAGGGGAGGAGGCAGTTGGAGGAGAGTGTTGAGGAGGGTCGAAAGGCGATGGAGCAGGTGGCAGCGCTACAGGCACAGGTGGAGGAGGGGAGGCGGCAATTGGTGGAGAAGAGGCAGCAGTTGGAGGAGGCTCGAGCGGAGGTTCGAAAGGAGAGGGAGCAGGTAACAGCGCTGGAAGCACAGGTGGATGAGGGGAGGCGGCAACTGGAGGAAGGAAGGCAGCAGCTGAAGGAGGCTCTTGATGATCTCCGAAAGGAGAGGGAGGAGATGCAGGTGGGACGTGCACGTTTGGCGGAAAAGGAGGGTACTGTGCGGGAGAAAGAGGCGATGGTGTTGGTGCGTGATGCAAAGATTCTGGTGCTGGAATCGGCAGTGGAAGGGAAGGGCCGGCAGGTGTATGCACTGCAGGGCGAGGTGGAAGAGAGGGTGAGGCGAGCTAGTGGGCTGCAGGCGAGAGTGGATGAGAAGGAAGGACAAATATCCTCGTTGCAAGCTGAGTTGGAAGAGAGGGCGAGGGAAGTGAGTGGGCTGCAGGCGAGAGTGGAGGAGAGGGAGGGGCAGGCATCCTCGTTACAAGCAGAGGTGGAAGAAAAGGTAAGGGAGGTGAGTGGGCTGAGGGCGAGTGTGCAGGAGAAGGAAGGACAATTATCCTCGTTACAAGCTGAGTTGGAAGAAAGGGTGAGGGAAGTGAGTGGGCTGCAGGCGAGGGTGGAGGAGAGGGAGGGGCAGGTATCCTCGCTACAAGCTGAGCTGGAAGATGGGGTGAGGCAAATGGGAGTGTTACAGGCAAGTGTGCAGGAGAAGGAGGAGCAGGTATCCTCGTTACAAGCTGAGTTGGAAGAGAAGGTGCGGCAGGTGAGTGGGCTGCAGGCGAGTGTGCAGGAGAAGGAAGGACAAATATCCTCGTTACAAGCCGAGATAGACGAGAGTTTGAAGCAATTGGGGGTGCTGCGGGCGAGTGTGAAGGAGGAAGAGGAGCAGGTATCCTCGTTACAGGGTCAGTTGGAGGAGAGGGTGAGGCAAGTGAGTGGGTTGCAGGTGAGTGTGGAGGAGAAAGAGGTGGTGATATCCTCGTTACAGGCAGAGATGGAGGAGAGGGTGAAGCAAATGGGGGTGCTGCAGGCGAGTGTGCAGGAGAAGGAGGAGCAGGTATCCTCGTTACAAGCTCAATTAGAAGAGAGGGTTAAGCAGATGGGAGTGCTGCAGGCAAGTCTGCAGGAGAAGGAGGAGCAGGTATCCTCGTTACAGGCTGACTTGGAAGAAAGCGTGATGCAAATGGGGGCGCTACAGGCAAGTGTGCAAGAGAAGGAAGGCCAGATATCTTTGTTACAAGCTGATAAGGAAGAGCAGTTGAGGCAAATGGGGGTGTTGCAGGCGAGTGTGGGTGAGAAGGAGGAGCAGGTATCCTCGTTACAAGCTGAGTTGGAAGAGAGGGCGAAGGACGTTGGGACTCTTCAAAAAAGTGTTCAGGAAAGGGAGAAGCAGGTATCCTCGTTACAGGATGATTTGGAAGAGAAGGTGCGGCAAATGGGGGCACTACAGGCGAGTGTGGATGAGAAGGAGGAGCAGGTATCCTCGTTACAAGCAGGTGTAGGAGAGAAAGAGCAGCAGGTGAAAGTGCTGGAGAGCCAAGTGGAAGAGAGTGTGATGCAAGCTGCTGCGTTACAAGCAGGAGTAGAAGAGAGGGAGAAGCAGATATCCTTGTTACAAGCAGGAGTAGAGGAGAGGGAAAGGCAGATGTCCGCGTTACAAGCAGTAGTTGAAGAAAGGGATAAGCAACTATTTGCGTTACAAGCAGGAGTTGAGGAGAGGGAACAGCAGATATCCGTGTTGCAAGCAGGAGTGAAAGAGAAGGAGCAGCAGGTATTGGCTCTTGTGCAAGAGAAGGAACAGCAAATACTGATGGTGCAGAGAGAGAGGGAAGAGTGGGAAGAGGCTAGAGGGAGGATGGCAGCGAGTGGGAAAGAAGCGGTGGAGAGGAGTGAGAGGGAGATTGCTGCGAGGGCCGAGGAAGTTGCCCTGCTGCAGAAGGAGAAAACAGAGGTGTTGAGAGTGGTTGAAGAGCTGGAGGCGAGGGTGAGGGAGAGAGAGATGGATGTTGCGCGTGAGAAAGAGGCAGTGGAGAGGAGTGAGAGGGAGATAGCTGCGAGGGTTGAGGAAGTTGCACGTCTGCAGAAGGAGAAAACAGAGGTGTTGAGAGCGGTTGAAGAGCTGGAGGTGAGGGTGAGGGAGAGAGAGATGGATGTTGCGCGTGAGAAAGAGGCGGTGGAGAGGAGTGAGAGGGAGATAGCTGCGAGGGTTGAGGAAGTTGCACGTCTGCAGAAGGAGAAAACAGAGGTGTTGAGAGCGGTTGAAGAGCTGGAGGTGAGGGTGAGGGAGAGAGAGATGGATGTTGCGCGTGAGAAAGAGGCGGTGGAGAGGAGTGAGAGGGAGATAGCTGCGAGGGTTGAGGAAGTTGCACGTCTGCAGAAGGAGAAAACAGAGGTGTTGAGAGTGGTTGAAGAGCTGGAGGTGAGGATGAGAGATAGGGAGGAGAAGGAGCAACAGGTGGTCGCAGCGCTGCAGGCGTGTGTGCAAGAGAAGGAGCAGCAGATAGCGGGGCTGCAGAGAGATAAGGAAGAGATGCTGAGAGCGGTTGAAGTGTTGGAGGTTAAGGTGAGGGATGGAGAGGAGAAGGAGCAACAGGTGGTAGCGCTGCAGGCGTGTGTGCAAGAGAAGGAGCAGCAGATAGCGGTGCTGCAGAGAGAGAGGGCGGAATGGGAGGAGAGAGTGGGAGTGGTGCAGTGTGAAATGGAGGGGAAAGTGAGGGAGATGGAGGGGCTAGTTGCTGAGGTGGAACGACTGGCTGGTGAGGTGGAATGGCTCTATGCTGAGCTGGAAAAGGAGCGCAAGCCGAGGCGTGGCTTGGATGCTGAGCTGGCACGTGTGGTTAAAGCGAAGGAGAGTCTACAAAAGGAGGTGGCGGGTTTGAAAGAGAGAGTGAGGGAGATTGAAAGGGAGAGTGTGAAGACGAGAAAAGAGGGAGAGAGGGAGAGGATGAGGTTGAGCAAGGAGTGTGAGAGTGAGCGTGTGAAAAACGTGAAAGCGAGTGAGGAGCTGAGTGAAAGAGTGCAGGAGCTTTCTGCATTGAAGACAGAGAGGGAAGGGCTTGTGAGAGAGTGCAAGGAATTGAAGGAAGAAGCAAGGAAGCTGCGAGAGAGAGTGCAGGTTCTTACTACTGAAGGGGAGGTGTTATCTGAGAGGGTTGGGGCTGCAGAGAGGAGGGTGGAGGAGGAGAGGGGGAGGAGGGAGGAGGTGGAGAGAGAGAGGGAGAGTGTGAGGGAGGAGCTGGAGGAGGGGTTGAGGGGAGTGAGGGAGATGGGGGGGAGAGTGGAGGAGATGGAAGGGGAAGTGAGTGTGCTACAGAGACAGATGGAAAAGGCTGAGGAGAGGAGAGAGGAGGCTGAGAGGGAAAGGGGTAATGTAGAGAGGGATATGGAGATGTTAGTCAAGCGGTTGAGAGAGGAGGAGAGGAGTCTGAGGGAGGGAGAGGAGGAGGTGGAGCGAGTGAGAAAGAGAATGGAGGAGGTGGAGAGGGAGTGGGGGGAGAGTGAGGGGGAGAGGATGAGGTTGATGAGGGAGGTGGGTGGTCTGGAGGAGAGAGTGAGGGAGCGAGAGGAGGAGTTGGAAGGGGTGAGGAGGGAGAGGGATGGGTGGAGAGGGGTGCTGGTTAGACTGAAAGAGAGTCTAGCAAAGGAAGGAGCAGGACAAGGGGTAAGGGTGCAAGTGGTTAAAGAGGAGGTGGGGAGAGAGGAGGGGCAAGGCGAAGCAGTGAGGAGACAGATGGAGGAGGAGATTACAGCGCTTGTCCAGTCTAATGCTGACGCAGCGAGGGCTGATGTTGACATGGCAAGGGCTGATGCTGACGCTGCGAGGGCGGAGGCTGACGCCGCAAGAGCTGATGCTGACGTGGTCAACAAAAGGCTCCAGGAGGCTGTAGCAGAAGCTGAAGCTGCACGGAAGGCAGCTGTAGCAGCTGAAGCTGCAAGGATGGTGGCTGTAGCAGAGAGTGAAGCTGCGAGGAAGGCGGCTGTTGCAGAAACGGAAGCTGCACGAGAGGAGGTTGTAGCGCTGGAGGAGGAGGTAGAGAGAATGAGGGAGGGAGTGGGGGATCGAGTGAGGGAGTTGGAGGTGGAGATTGAGGGAGTGAGTGAGAGGCTTGGGAAGGCTGAGAAGGAGGTGAGGGAGAAGGAGAGGGAGGTGAAGAGGCAGAGGGAGGAGCTAAGAGTAAAAGAGGAGGAGCTGGAAGTGAGGTGCAAAGAGGTACAAGAGAAGGGCAAAAAGGTCGAGGAACTGATGGGTGTTGTGGAAGAAACGAAGATGATTGTATTGAGGAAAGAGGAGGAGTTAAAAATGAGGGGCAAGGAGGTAGAGAAGAGGAGCAAAGAGGTTGAGAGACTGATGGGGATTGTGGGAGAAACGAAGATGCTTTTAGCGAGGAAAGAGGAGGAGTTGGAAGTGAGGGGCAAAGAGGTGAATGAGTTGACAGGGCTTGTGGAAGAAGCGAAGATGCTTGTAGCGAGGACAGAGGAGGAGGGCAGGATGGCACGAATAGTGCTGGAAGGAACAGTGGTTAGCTTAAAAGAGGAGATAGAGAGGGTTGCAGGAGAGGGGTTGGAAGCGGTGGAGAGGGTTAGAGAGGAGGGTAGGGAGGAAGTGGAGAGGGCTAGGGAGGAGGGTAGGGAGGAGATTGAGAGGGTTAGGGAGGAGGGTAACGAGGAGGTTGAGAGAGTGAGGCAGCAGGCTTGGAAACAGGTGTCGGAGGCTTGGCAAAAGGCTCGGGAGGAGGTGGAACTGGTTAGGGAGCAGCTGGAGCAGGTTCGGGAGCAGCTCCGGAGGGAGGTGGTATCCAGACAGGTGGAGACTGAACAGAGGGTTGTGGCTGAGGGGAGGTTGCGGGAGATTGAGGAGAGAGTGAGGGAGATGGAGAGGGAGAGTAGGGAGGTGGAAGGGGAGGTTGAGAGAGTGAGGAGGGAGTGGGAGGAGAAGGAGAGGGAGATGAGGAGAGAGTGGGAGGAGAAGAGGTGTGGGATGGAAGTGCTGGTGAGTCAGATTGAGGAGATGTGGAAGGGAAGAGTGGAGGAAGGGGAGAGGGAGAGGGAAAGGGAGAGAGAGAGGAGGGAGGCGGAGTGGGTGGAGGAGAGGAGAAGGTTGGCTGAGGAAGTTGATAGGGAGAGGGAGAGAGTGAGGGAAGAGGGGGAGAAAGAGGGTGAGAGAGTGAGGAAAGAGGTGGAACAAGAGAGGGAGAGAGCTCTGGCAGATGTGGACAGGGAGAGGGAGGAAGTGAGGGAGCAGAGGGAGAGAGTGAGGGAGGAGAGGGAGAGAGTGAGGGAGGAGAGGGAGAGAGTCAGGGAGGAGGTGGAGCGAGAGAAGGAGGAAGTGAGAAATCAACTGGAAATGGAGAGGAAGAGGTTAATGGATGATTTGGAGGAAAGAGAGAGAAAGTTGAAAGAGGCTGAGGAGAAGTGGAAGGAGGGGAGGATGGAGGAAGAGAAATCGGAGGAAACCGTAGGGGAGGAGGTGGGGACGAATCGGGGGAAAGAGGAGGGGAAGGAGGGCGAGGAGAGAGAAGATGAAGTGGTGGCGAAGCAAGGAGGTGACGAGGAGGATAGAGGAGAGGTGGCAGCAAGAGAACGGGCAGAGAAGGAGTGGAGGGAGCGAGAGAGGGAATGGCAAGCGAGAGAGGAGGAGTGGGGGAGGAGGACGGTGGAGTGGATAGGGAGAGTGAAGGCGCTGGGTGCTCAGTGGAAGGGAGTGGTGCAGCGAGAGAGGCGAGCGAGAGTGATGGAGCAGCGGGCCAGATTGGAGGAGAGGAAGGCGAGAGAGGAGGAGAGCAGAGCTAGGGAGGAGGAGGAGAGGAGGCAAGGAAGTGAAGTGTGTGTGATAGGCAAGGAGCAAGTGAGGGAGCTAGGGTCGTATATCACCAGCATGGAGTTCGTCTGTGGAAGGTTCCAGGTGCGTTCCCTCCTCCTCACTCCCTCCATCCATCCATGCTATCTCCATCCCTTGCGCTGCTCTCCTTTGCTCCCTGCTTGTCCGTGTTTTATAGGCGCCTCAAATAGCTTGTTCATATGCAATCCTTCATCCTCTCCGTACTCAATCTCCCCACGTGCCTTCCACTGCTCCCCTCTCTCCCCATTCCCGCGTGCCCTGGCGGCCAAGGCTCAGCAAGTTTTGAGGCGCCGCAGAACTCCTCCCGTCTCTCCCCTGCTCGTCTCTCTCCCCATCCCAGCGTGCTCTGGCAACCAAGGTGCAGCAGCTGCAGTAGGAATGGCAGCAGGTAGAGAGGATGGTGTAGCAGCTTTTCCATCCTCTTCCCCCTCCTTCCCCGTCTTGCCCGCCTCTTTCCTCTTCTCCCTCTTTCCCTCTTTCACTCTTTTCCTCTTCCCCATCCCAGCGTGCTCTAGCGGCCAAGGCGCAGCAGCTACAGGAGGAGCGGCAGCGGGTGGAAGGGATAGTAGAGCAGGCAGCACGGGAGAGGGCTGCGCGGGACGCTGCACTGAAGACGCTTATAACGGGGATGGAGAAACGCGATTTTGCGTGAGTATACACGCTCACACGTGCTTTTCACGTGTTGATGTCTTCTCCCTCTCCCATCATTTCCGTCCTCTTGTTCTCATTTCTTTCTCATTGCCCCCCTTCCTCACTCTCTCATTCCTTGTCTCCCTGCCATTTCTATTGCCCCTGACCCACCTTTTATCATATCCTTCCAAAATGGTCATCTCGATCCTCATTGCATGCCTTTTGAGGTGCCTAAGATTCTTTATTTCTTTTTTTAGGCGCCTCACAAGATGTTTTTTAGGCGCCTCACAAGATGTTTTTTAGGCGCCTCAAAAGTTCCTGATGTGCTTCCAAAATGGTCATCTCGATCCTCACTGCATGCCTCTCATGTGTGTGACCAAGTGACACACCCCTCCACCTCTCTCTCTCCTTGTACCTCTCGTTCTGCCAGGGCGAGTGAGCCGTATGCATCAGTGGACGAGGCAGCAGCGCAGGCCTTCGCATGGCACGACTCCCAGCTGGAGGCCTTGACCCGCCGTGCTGCTCACATGCTGCATGCTCCTTCCCTTCTCCCTCTCTCACCTCATGTCTTTCCACAGGGCGAGTGAGCCGTATGCATCAGTGGACGCGGCAGCAGCTGAGGCCTTCGCATGGCACGACTCCCAGCTAGAGGCCTTGACCCGCCGTGCTGCTCACATGCTGCATGCCGGCTCGGAAGCACCCACCGCAGCTGCTGGAACGACGCCAGTAGCAGCACCAGGAGCACCACCAGGAGCAGCCACAGGAGCAGCCACAGGAACAGAACCAGCACCAGCACAAGCAGCACCTAAGCCTGTTCAGTTCATCTCCTCCCCGACCTTTTCTTCTCAATCGTCCTCTCTCTCCTCCTCCCTTTCTTCCTCCCTCTCCCACTCCCTCTCTGCCTGGTCCCTCGCCCACCCTCCCTCCACCTCCGCCTCGTCTCAGCACCTCTCTGCATCCACCCCTTCGCTGTACATGGACACGGAGCAGGGTCAGAGAAAGCCTTCGGAACCATGTGGTGCAGGGGCAGGTGGTGGGGCAGGTGGTGGGGCAGCTGGTGGGGCAGCTGGTGGGGCAGCTGGTGGGGCAGCTGGTGGGGCAGCTGGTGGGGCAGGTGCAGGGAAAGGTGCAGGGGCAGGTGCAGGGGCAGGGGCAGGTGTTGCAGGTGGGCCAGGGGCATGTGGTGCGGGGGCGTCTGGTGTAGGGGCGGGCGGGGCAGGTACGACAGAGAGAGCAGGACCAGCAGCCCAATCAGAGACCAGTGGAAGCAGCCCCGAGCAGAGGCGTGCCACGAATCGATTTAGCCCGAGCAAGCAAGGGAGCCCAAGCCCGGCGCACAAGGGCGGCGGCACTGTCATTCCTCACGACGCCACCCTGTGAGTTCCACGCTCCTCAAAGCCAAGCACGCTCCTTGAAGCCAAGCACGCTCCTTGAAGCCAAGCACGCTCCTTGAAGCCAAGCACGCTCCTTGAAGCCAAGCACGCTCCTTGAAGCCAAGCACGCTCCTTGAAGCCAAGCACGCTCCTTGAAGCCAAGCACGCTCCTTGAAGCCAAGCACGCTCCTTGAAGCCAAGCACGCTCCTTGAAGCCAAGCACGCTCCTTGAAGCCAAGCACGCTCCTTGAAGCCAAGCACGCTCCTCGAAGCCAAGCACGCTCCTCGAAGCCAAGCACGCTCCTCGAAGCCAAGCACGCTCCTCGAAGCCAAGCACGCTCCTCGAAGCCAAGCACGCTCCTCGAAGCCAAGCACGCTCCTCGAAGCCAAGCACGCTCCTCGAAGCCAAGCACGCTCCTCGAAGCCAAGCACGCTCCTTGAAGCCAAGCACGCTCCTTGAAGCACGAACAAGCAAGGAGGCAGGATGCTTGTTGCAGCATAGTCCTTTTGTTCACAGAAGGAACATGCGCCCTGCTCTTAATCGGTTTGGGTTAATAATGGTGCGTTGTTACACACCAATCTGCCCCTCCCTCCCTCCCCTCCCCCCCCAGCCCCACGGATCTGTTTGACTTCTCCTCAAGCACGTCTGCGAGCCCACCGCTGCCACTCTCAGTGACGGCTAATTCCCTCTCCCGTTCTCCCTTTCCCCCCTTTCTTTCCCCTCAGCCCCTCGGGCCTGTGGGATTTCTTCGCAGACACATCAGCAGGCCCACCGCTGCCGCTGTCAACAGTGGCTGAATATCCCCTCCCATTCCCCCTTTCCCCTGCACTCTCCCTCCGCTTCCCCCCTTCCTCCTTCCCCCCTTTCTTTCCCCCAGCCCCTCGGGCCTGTGGGATTTCTTCGCAGGCACATCAGCAGGCCCACCGCTGCCGCTGTCAACAGTGGCTGACTGGGGGGTGGCGGGGAGGCGGCAGCACAAGTGGATGGTGGATGGCGTGTGGATGGAGGTGTCTAGAAAGGTAAGGAGGGTGTGTGTCATATGTGGGGCGTGAGGAGGGGTAGAAGGGGAGATGGTGGCAGCACAAGTGGATGGTGGATAGCGGATGGCGGACGGATTGCGGATTGTGGATGGTGGATGGTGGATGGTGTATGGTGTAAGGTGTATGGTCGATGGTGTATGGTGCATGGTGTATGGTGGATGGAGGATGGCGTATGGTGGATGATGCATGGTGTATGATGGATGGTGAGGCAATTTCGCACTTGTCTGTTATAAGTCGCACCTACTCGTCTTCCCCAACGTTCCTTCATGTCCCCACTTTCTTTCCACTCTGCATCCCATACTACGTGCTCCATATGCCATCCCATGCCACTGGTACCACCTGTGCCACACATTCCGTTCCATGTCGGCCACCTTGCCGCCCTTGCCGCCCAACTTGCCGGGCATGCCATCAGGAGTACGAGACCATGCGTCAGACCCTGGCAGAGCAGCAGAATCAACTGGCAACACTGGAGCAGGTGAGGGGGGGTCGTTGGTGTTTCTGAGGGGTTCTGAGGGGTACTTGGGGGTTTGGGGGTACAAGACCATGTGTCAGACTTTGGCGGAGCAGCAGAATCAACTGGCAACACTGGAGCAGGTGGGGTTCGGGTTGTTGTGGGTTCTGAGGGGTTCTGGGGGTTTCTAAGGGGGTCTGAGGGAATTGTGGGATGATGCCACCACATGTCGCCCATGCAATTAGGAGTACGTACGAGGGCATGTGGCAGGCCATGGTAGGGCAGTAGAAACAGCTGGCAGCACTGGAGCAGGTTAGGGGGGGCTACGAGGGTGTGTGGAGTTGTGGGGTCTGAGGGGTTCTGAGGGGTTCTGAGGGGTACTGGGGAGTTTTAGGGTGTGGGATGATGCCATCAGATGCCACCCGTGCCATCAGGAGTACGAGGGCATGTGGCAGAGCAGCAGAATCTGCTGCAGCACTGTAGCAGGTTAACGGGGCTATGAGGGTGTGTGGAGAGTGTGACGGGGTGTGGGGAGTGTGGGGGGGTGTGGGTGTGGGTGTGGGTGTGGGGAAGGGTGGGGAAGGGTGGGATGTGAGAGGTTGGGTGGGTGTGGGAGCTGAAAGGTTGAGTCACGTAAGTTGGGTTGAGGTTTTGGGGTTCATTGCATGGGTGGGAAGTGGAAGAGGTGTGGCAGATGCAAAGAAATAGTTCTCTGAAAATGAATGGATTGTGTTACTGAGCCATGTATTTTTCTTCCATTTTCTTTACCTTGTGTGCTGCCTGCACGTGCCTTGTATCATATACACAGTTACGGGCTGATAAGGTCTGGATGGAGGCTGCCTTGGCGCAATTCATAGAGCTCAAGAGGAAATACGAGACGGAAAACGAAAGCCTACTGTCAAAGGTGAGTTGACTAGGAGCCTTCAGTATGGTCTAACACCCACCCCCGCTCCCACCTTCCCTCCCCTTCCCCCCCCCCCCCCCTCCCCCCTCCCCCTGCCCTCCCCACACCCCCCTCCCTTCTTTTTCTAGAATCCATCTTTTTATCCTCCAATTTCTTGCTATCTAACATGTTTCTTTTTGACGTTTTTTTTTGGTGTTTTTTTTTTACTAACACTACTTCAGATCGCCAGTTATGAGTAAGGAGCTTCAAGAACTGAAGTGTTAATCTTTAACTGTTGTGCCAAGTATACTGAACTCGTTTATTTGTATTTCTTAGTGTTTGAGAGTGATCCTGATTCATCTGGGTGCCTCAGAACGCCACGCCAGAAATATGAATTCTAGCGTCAGCAACTCTTCCAGCTGTGCCATCTCCTTGTGCCATCCGAGTCAGCGTCACGTGTCCGACTCCCAGGCCTCATCCATGTCCGGATGGTTTTTGGCGGGCAGCTGCCAGCACATGCAAAAAGCACAATCATCAACAAATTGATGCCCACCAGCCCTGACCGATTTGGCGCAATTTTCCCGGCAGTTCTTTCGGTGACCACTGTTTCGAATCTCTCTGTTCCGGGCGTGGGGCAGCCTATGCATTTCTGGCAGGAGGTGCTTTTGACATTCGGGCACAAAATAATTGGCTTTTGCAACAGATTCATTCCCGGGACAGGGGCTGACGAAAAGTATAAGCGACTGGACGAGACCATGTTGCACTGTGTTTCACGAGGTTGCGCGGCGCTCTAAGTTCGCACAGCAGGTTACCAGCTTCGCATGCGCTTTGCACCCACTCATCTCTATCGAAATGGGTGCAAAACATCAAGCACAGCAGGCCAAGAAAATGTGGAAGGCGGAATATGCTCGATGCGGCGCGGAAGCCAGGGGGGCCAAGATAGGCTGATAGTGGGTTGTGAATCTCTCAGTTTCTTGTTGCTGTTTCGTATTTGATTGCTGTGGGTCCTCCTTTCTGCTCCGTTTTCTACTTTCCGCCGTTTGTTCCTTGGATTCGTTCTTGTGTTGTAGCCGCTACTGTGAGAGAGCATATGCTAGTAAAGCGGGAACAATATTTTGGAGCGCCTATTCTCTAGTGGCTTGAAATTAGATTCCGATTCGCGTTCTGCATCGTTTGACGTCGAAGCATCATCGTTTTCAGCTTCGTTTGACTGGTTTGACTGATTTAATCGTCATGGCTCGCGTGCTCAAGTTGTCTGAAGTGAAGGAGCTCGTCCTCGGTAAGAGGACGCTCGTTACAGTCGATGCCGACGACTCGTTAACAACAGCGCTGAAGCTGTTTCAGGAGCACCACGTGACGTCGATGCCCGTGCGCAACCGTCGCCTCTCTGCACCGCACCAAACCGAGAAGCCGTCGCTCAAGAAGCCCCAAGCTTTGCAGTCCATCATGGTGCATCCGTCACCCATGCGATTCGTCGGCATGGTGAGTCGTCGTCGCACGTCGCGCGTGCAATTCATCGGCATGGTGAGTCGTCGCTTGTCGCCCATGCGATTCGTCGGATGGTGAGTCGTCGCCTGTCGCTCAAGCTCGTTCCGCCCTGTTTTTCCCGCCTTCATTCCGCCTCCGCTTGTTCCCCCCCCTTACCCCCCCCCGTTCCGCCTGCGTCTGTTTTTCCGCCCCTGCTCTTTCTGCCCCCGTTCCTTCCGCCACTAAATTTCTCCCCCCCTGTTTTTTCCCTCACGTTTTTTCCACCCCTGTTTTTTTCGCCGCTGCTTTTTCTGCACCCGTTCTCCCCGCATGCCCTCGCTCGCAGCTTTCGGTGGTGGACGTGGCGATCTTCCTCGCGGAGTGGGATGGTAACAAGGGCGCGCGTGGCGACGACGGCGAAATGGTGGCGAAGACCCTGTGCGACGTGAAGGTCGCTGACGTCATGGGCAAGTCCGAGGAGACACGTCAGATGGTCGTCGTGGATCCCCATGCCAGGTAGGCAAGCACGAGAGGGGGGAAGGGAGAGAAATAGGGGGGGTAGGGTGGAGGGAGAGAGGGAGAGAGAGAGAGGGAGGGAGGGAGGGAGCAAGGGAGCGAGGAGGAAGGGAGGGTAGAATCAAGCGAGGCTGTCGCTTCTGAATGTGTAAGGAGACATTTTCTGAGACGTTTCGAAAAATAAGCCTGCGGCTTGTGAATGTGTAACAGGGCGTGCTGAGGACGATCAGCATTGCCAGTGGCTTCTGGGCGGTTTTTGAGACGCTGAAAAAAATCTCTCTTTTTTTTCCTCTCCCCCCTCTCTGCCCTCTCCCCCTCCTCCACCCCTGCGCGCCCTCTCAGTGTGTGGCAGGCGATGCTGCTGCGAGGCGCGGGGGGTTTCCACCGCAGCCTCGTGCCCAACATCTGCCCGGGCGAGCACGACCTGCTCCCTCTCACGGACGCCATTTCCCACTGTCAGAACTGCCACCCTTCTTTCATCCCCTTCTATCCCCCATCTCACCCCCCTCCCAGTGTGTGGCAGACTATGCTGTTGCTGGGAGCAGGCGGCTTCCATCGCGGCCTCGTGCCCAACATCTGCCCGGGCGAGCACGACCTGCTCCCCCTCACCGACGCCATTCCCACTGTCAGAACTGCCACCTCTGTCTGTAGGGGTGAGCACGACCTGCTCCACTTGCACGCATTCAACCATGCCTCTCCACCCTCCACCCCCGTCCCCTATACTTCCCCCTTTTCCCCTGCACCAGTGTGTGGCAGGCGATGCTGCTGCTAGGCGCGGGCGGCTTCCATCGCGGCCTCGTACCCAACATCTGCCCGGGCGAGCACGACCTGCTCCCTCTCACCGAGCCTCCCCCCAAGCCCACCTCCCTGGCGGAGAGGCGCGCAGAGAAGGAGGAGAAGGGTGAGGAGGAGGAGGGGGAGGGGGAGGGAGCAGGAGCGGCGGTGGTGCCGGCGCCGCCGATGCCTCTGGCGGTGCATAGCGAGGTGACGGGCGGCGTGGTGGGCGAGGAGTATCGCGTGCTGTCTCAGATGGACGTCGCCACGTTCCTGCTGTCGCACGAGGGGCTCATGGGACTTGCACTGGCTAAGAAGTGAGTGTGGGGAGAAGTGCGTGGGAAGGAAAAGGGGAGGGAGTTGTGGTGCTGGTGGTACCTGCGGTGTGGGCAGTGCCGCCGATGCCTCTGGCGATGCACAGCGAGGTGACGGGCGGCGTCGTGGGCGAGGAGTATCGCGTGCTGTCTCAGATGGACGTCGCCACGTTCCTGCTGTCTCATGAAGGGTTGATGGGGCTGGCGCTGGCTAAGAGGTGAGTGAGGGAAGAGGTGGGCTGTGGTGTGGATGGAAGGGGGGCGTGGTGGGCGAGGAGTATCGCGTGCTGTCTCAGATGGACGTCGCCACGTTCCTGCTGTCACACGAGGGGCTGATGGAACTCGCGCTGGCTAAGAAGTGAGTGATTAGAAGAAGTGTGAGAGACGAGGGGAGGGTTGGGTGGTGATTGGTTCAGGTGACTGGGGGCGTGGTGGGCGAGGAGTATCGCGTGCTGTCCCAGATGGACGTCGCTACGTTCCTGCTGTCGCATGAAGGGTTGATGGGGCTGGCGCTGGCTAAGAGGTGAGTGGGTTGAGGTGGGAAGTGGGGAATGGAAAGGCGGAAGAGGGGAGAAAGGGTGGTGGTCTATTCGTGTGACTGCAGGTGTGGTGGGCGAGGAGTATCGTGTGCTGTCACAGATTGTAGTGTAGTGACCATAACGGCCTCTGACATTCCAAACACCCCTCCCATTTCCTTCGTTTACTTGCAGGGTGGATGATCTGGGACTGGTGTGGCCGTTGGTGGTCACCATAACGCCGTCTGACACTCTGCTGCACGCCTTCCGCCTCTTCAGGCGCCACCAGGTCCGTTTCAGCTTAGCTTAAAGCCCTCGTCAGCAGCAGTGCTCCTGCCACTGCGAGTGAATGTGCTTCTTTGTTTTAGGACCAACCAAAAAAAAAAAAAAAAAAAAAAAAAAAGCAAGACAAAACAGTCAAACAAAAATCAACTCTCGTCCCTCCCTGCGAATCAACAGCTCTCTCAACAGAGCGAGAGTTGATTTTTGAGAGAGCTGTTGATTCAGAGCTGGTGCGGGGCTGTGTGTCCCTCCCTGTTCAGAGCTGGTGCGGGGCTGTGTGTCCCTCCCTGTTCAGAGCTGGTGCGGGGCTGTGTGTCCCTCCCTGTTCAGAGCTGGTGCGGGGCTGTGTGTCCCTCCCTGTTCAGAGCTGGTGCGGGGCTGTGTGTCCCTCCCTGTTCAGAGCTGGTGCGGGGCTGTGTGTCCCTCCCTGTTCAGAGCTACGTGTCTGTTGGAGGCACCTTCAGCCCTCCATACGTGTGCTGATTTGATCTCAAAACTATTTTTTCTAGGCGGGAACGCTCATCGATACTCCCTCCTCCCATCCACCGTTCTTCCCATCCACCCCCCTCTGTCAGGTTTTTTGCGCTGCCTGTGGTGGGCGGTCCGCACATGCGTCCCCGCCTGCGGGGGGGTCCTCATTGACTCTCTCTCTCTCTCTCTGCTTCTGACGTGCTCTTCTTGTTCCCCTCTATATCATTCCCCCTTCCATCAGGTTACCGAACTGCCAGTGGTGGCGGCACATGCGTCCGAACCCCACTCAGGCATCCCCGCCAGCGGGGGGGTCCCCATTGACTCTCTCTCTGCCTCTGACGTGCTGCTGTGTGTACTCCTGTCTATCTTTCCCTCTCCCTCCTTAGGTCGCCGCACCGCACTCCCTGTGGGGAGGTTCTGATCGACACTCTCTCGGCCTCTGATGTGCGCTGCATTCACGTGCTCCTGTCTATCTTTCCCTCTCCCTCCTTAGGTCACTGCACTCCCTGTGGTGGCTGCACATGCGTCTGAGCCCCATTCCGGCTTCCACGCGTGCGGCGAGGTTCTGATCGACACTCTCTCCGCCTCTGACGTGCGCTGCATTCACGTGCTGGAAGGGGGGGTGGAGGGGAAGAAGGGGCAGGAGGGGTTAAAGGAGGAGAAGAAAGAGGGGAAGAAGGAAGAGGGGAAGGGGAAGCACGGGAAGAAGGGGAAGGAGAGGAAGGGTCACCATGCGAAGAAGACTGCGGTGCGGGTGGGTGAGGAGGAGTTTGAGGACCTGGGGGAGGTGACCGTGGGTCAGTTCCTGAGCGCTGTCAGGACGGCACAGAACCGCCACCTCATCACGTGCACTCGGTGAGTGACTTGCATTGCCAGGTGGTGCCTGCATCAGTTATCGCCTCACCCTGGGGCAGCTCCTTTGTGCTGTCAGGGGCACATGGCACCACCACCTCATCACCTGCACTCGGTGAGCGTTACGGGTAGTGGTAGCAGCAAAAAGAAGCACGCTGTGTAAGGTACCTTTACCTGGTGAGTGCGGAACAGGTGGGTAACGAGGGGTTTGAGAACCTTAGAGCAATGACCATGGGGCAATTTCTGAGCGCTCAGGGGCACATGGCACCGCCACCTCATCATCTGCTCCCGGTGACAGCATGATAGGTCGTACCTGCACCAGTTGTCATCTGCATCAGTTGTCATCTGCACCAATTGTCATCTGCACCAGTTGTCACCTGCACCAGTTGTCACCTGCACCAGTTGTCACCTGCACCAGTTGTCACCTGCACCAGTTATCACCTGCACCAGCTGTCTCCTGCACCAGCTGTCAACTGCACCAGTTGTCACCTGCGCCAGCCGAGCGTTACCGATATCACATAACTGCACTAGGTGGCATCGGAACTACAGAAGGTGCGCTGCATCGCATGGTGAGTGTACCTGTAGTGTGGGTGGTGTGGTGGACCTAGACTGGCCATTCTCATCTCCTCTCTCCCTCATTCCCCTGACTTACCTCATTTTTCCCTTCTTACAGCAACACGAGTCTGAGGCGGGTGCTGCACCGCATGGTGAGGGAGAGGGTGCACCGCGTGTGGGTGGTGGACCAGCAGGAGCAGCCCTCGCCCATGCCCTCCCCTAGCATCCCCTCTACAAGCATCTTCAAGGACAACCTAGAAGACCAGGGTCATGCTGGCAACGGCAAGCCGAAGCCGCACGCTGCTACAGTGCTGCCGGCTATGGGAGGGGTTGGAGGAGGAGGAGTGGGTGGGGGAAGTGTGGAGATGCATTTACAGGGGGTGGTGAGCCTTACGGACATTCTTCGTATTGTGCGTGTGCTGCCCATTGCTAGTCTCTCTTCCTCTCAGCTGGGCGAACTGGGGAAGGAGCTGGATGTGCAGGAGGGAGGGGAGGGGAAAGAGGAGGAGTTGGAGGGGTGGGAGATGGGTGGAGGGGAGTTCCTTATGCCTGATTGGAGCATCGCGCCTGGGTCCCTGCTGGATTGGTGGCCGAAAATGAGCAAGTCTTCGTCGGTTGGTGCTTGATGGAGATGCTGTGAGGCTGATAATAACACGACGTGTACATATACGTAAGGAGGAGGCTGGAATGATACCAGTATTACGAGTTGAGTTGACTGGAAGGAAGACTGCTTCGTGGACTTTGGCTTGGCATGGGTCTTTACTTTGTTATTACATGTTCGCTTTTTGCCTCTTGTTTTCTGTCGTTTTTTAGTTTGTTAGCTTTCTGTGCTTGTAGATTGGGTATTGACTGGAATTTAAACATGTTTCTGCTGTTTATAACGTTTTTGGAAACAATGAACTGTATTCACTTCGTTAACCTGTCCACGTCTAAACACCCACCACTCTGTAGAGTGGCAGTGAGGCTGATAGTATTCGGGCGAAGCGGATTCGTTGTGTGACTGACAAGATTTGTCCTTGCAACGGGGATTGGGATTGCCAGTGCGAGTGCGCGTGTGAGGGCAAAATGCAACAAGTTCACCTTGGGATTACCTCGTACCAATCTCCAATCAGCGGGCCTTGGGATTTCCACGTGCACGCTGCTCTCACCATAGTAGTTAGAGATAAATTCCTCGAACACTAGAGGAAAAGAACTGGATCACCAGCGTTCACACGACCTAGTCGGCCGGCCTTTCGCTATACGCTTCTCCGTTTGTACATTTACCGACATCTCCATCGCCACCGTCCATCTGCGGGTGCCTCACGCCGCTTCGTTTTTTCTCTGTGTGCACGTGTAGCTCTGGACACCCCGGTTTACGGTCGTAGCAGGCTAGACCGTTAATTCCATTCGGGCGACAACAGTTTATACCTCTCCTGCTACAAACGTTTATTCCATTCCGGCTACAACCGTTTGTACAACTCCGGATTCAACCGCCCAGGCCAGAACCGTTTGTTCGCTCCGGCCGCGCTGCGCTGCGACCCCGCGCAAGCCCGTCTCCGCAATGGGTGGCCTGCACTGGCGGAAGAAGGGCGGCGGAAAAGACGCGGGCGGGTCGAGCGCGCGCAAGCAGGTGGTGCTGACGGCGGCGCAACTGACGGAGCTGGAGAGTTACATTCAAGACATGGAGGCCAAATGCGCGCAGTTTCAGGTGAGCGCGCTTATCCTGAATCACTTACTTTGTGCATGGTCTAGGAAGCAACTGGCGGAGCTGGAGAGTTACATTCAAGACATGGAGGCCAAGTGCGCGCAGTTCCAGGTGAATAAAAAAGTGGGCGCAGTTTCAGGTGAATAAAAAAGTGGTCGCAGTTTCAGGTGAATAAAAGAGTGGGCGCAGTTTCAGGTGAGTGCTTCCACTTGAGTTGCGCATGGTTCCCAAAAGCAACAGGCGGAGCTGGAGGGGAACCTTTCAGACATGGAGGCGAAACGCGCGTGGTTCCAGGTGAGTGTTCGCGCGCGAGAGCTGCATTTTTTGGCGAAATGCGAAATGGTAATGCGAAATACGGAAATGCGAAGTGCGAAAATGCAAACATACGAAAGATGCGAGATGCACGCTTTTCGCAAGCGTGGTCCTTTTCCGCTGCTCCCCTCCTTGCCTGGATCTTCACACCACCTTCCCTGCCTTGAGCCACAGCAGCCATCTCGTCAGATATAACACCTCGTACCTACTGGGTCAAAACGAGGGTGTTATTTGGCACAGCGGAATGCCCATCAACACAGCCCACAGGCGTTACATCAGCAATCGCTCTTCCCCCATCTCCCTCGTTCTCCTTGGCTATTCTGCAGTTCAACCCCCCCCTCCCCACCTCCTTGCCCTCTACCCTCAGGCGGTGGTGACGCACGAGGCAATGGCGGAGGCGGCCGTGAGGGGGCAGCTTGAGAGGCCGGCGAGTTGTGAGACGCCTCAAGCCCCTTTCTTCCATCCCCCTCAACCCCGCTCCTCCTCTCCCCTCCCCCCGTTCCCCTCCAGGCGGTGGTGGCGCACAAGGCAGCAGCGGAGGCGGCAATGAGGGGGCAGCTGGAGGGGCTGGCAGCAGAGCAACGTGCAAACCAACCCCTCCCCGTCCTCTTTCCCCCCAACCTCCCCTGACCTCTGAGTCGACTCAAAAGTCTCCTCTTTCCCCCGAACCTCCCCTAACCTCTGAGTTGACTCAAAAGTCACCCTTCTGAGTCGACTTAAAAACTCCCCTGACCTCTCTCTCTCCAGATGGTGGTGGCAACAAGGCAGCGGCGGAGGCGGTGAGGTGTGAGATGGCGTCTCATCTCTCCTCCGTCCACTCCCATTCCGCACCCCCCCCTTCCTGCACCCCCCCCGCTCCAGACGGTGGTGGGCCAGAAGGCAGCAGCAGAAGCAGCCATGAGGGGGCAGCTGGAGGGGCTGGCAGCGGGGGTGGAGGGGGAGCGGGCCGCTCGGGAATCGGCGCTGGATGCTCTGATGACGGACTTTGAAAGCAGAGTGTGCGTGGGGAAAAGGGGGGGGGGAGGGGGGAGGGGAGAGAAGCGGGGTGGTGGGGGAAGGGGTGGGTTGGGTCAATGGGGTTTGAAAGGGGGAGTGTGAGGGGGAGTGTGGCGTGATGGCATTGGAGGGGGAGCGGGCTCTAGATGCTCTGATGACGGACTTTGAGAGCAGAGTGTGCGTGTGAATGGGGGTTTGGTTTACAGGGTAGTGTGACGGAGAGTGTGCGCTGCCTTGCACATGGCAGTGGAAGGGGAACGGGCTGCTAGGGGAACACTCTCCTGTTCCATGGAAGGCTGCTTGGGAGTAGGCTCTGGATGCTCTGAGGACGGATTTTGAGAGCAGGGTATGCATGGGGGGGGGGGGGTGAGGGGTAGAGAGTATGAGTGTGATTGGGAGTGTGAAGGGAAGAGTAGTGTCCTGAGTCATCATGACAGGGAAGTGGGAGCGAACTCCTGGTGGGAGCGAACTCCTGGTGGGAGCAAACTCCTGGTGGGAGCGAACTCCTGGTGGGAGCGAACTCCTGGTGGGAGCGAACTCCTCGCGAAGAGACTCTGGATGCTCTGGTGTCGGACTTTGAGGGCAGAGTGTGCGTGGGAGTGGGGGGGATGTGTGCGTGTGTGGAGGCCGTGTGTCTGTACTACTGAGAGGTGGAACGAACGTCATGGGAGGTTCATTCTTATGTAGGTTGAATTTTACGAATTCTCTAAGACCAACCTACAGAAGTGAGTGTGTGTTGGCCGCGTGTCTGTTTACTACAGACAGGTGGAATGCGACGAGTTCTGAGTCGACCCAAGAAACGTGTGTGCGTGTGTGGAGGCCGTGTGTCTGTACTACAGACAGGTGGAATGCGACGAGTTCTGAGTCGACCCAAGAAACGTGTGTGCGTGTGTGGAGGCCGTGTGTCTGTACTACAGACAGGTGGAATGCGACGAGTTCTGAGTCGACCCAAGAAACGTGTGTGCGTGTGTGGAGGCCGTGTGTCTGTACTACAGACAGGTGGAATGAACGTCGTGGGAGCATCGCACTCCCACTCCCACTCCCACTCCCACTCCCGCTCCCACTTCCACTCCCACTCCCGCTCCCACTCCCACTCCCACTCCCACTCCCACTCCCGTTCCCACTCCCACTCCCACTCCCACTCCCACTCCCACTCCCACTCCCGCTCCCACTCCCACTCCCACTCCCGCTCCCACTCCCACTCCCACTCCTTCTGGCCTCTTCTGTCCGTTCATAAACTCTGCATGCAATCTGCTTCAGCCTTTTTTAGCATTGTGAGCATTGCACTCCCACTCACACGCGCCATCACCCCTTCCATCCATTCCTCCACTATCTCAGCCTTTTCACCCCCCTCCACCCCTTTCCACCTCCCTCCACCGAACTGCAGGTCTGCCCGTCTCCCTCCACCCTCATCTGTCCGCCCGCCCTTCGCCACCATCACCCCCCTCTGCTACAGGCCCCAATGAACCCTCTTATTCTCTCCCCCATCCACACTCCGTTTACTTTCTCATCCCCCATCCTCCCTCTCCTCTCCCCTTTGCCCCTACACGCACCCACAGGTCTGCCCGTCTCCCTCCACCCTCATCTGCCCGCTCGACCCTCCCCACCATCACCTCCTCTGCTACAGCTGCCCCCACCGAACCAGACTCCATCTCACAGCCCTCCACACTCGCTCCTCCTCCCCACACTCCCACCCTCCCTCCCTCCTCCTTCACCTCCTCGCTCCGCTCGTCCCTCCCCTCTTCGCTCTCCACCTCGCTCACCACCTTCGTGAGCAGCAGCAGTGAGATAGAGGCACTGGCACAACGAGCTAGAGCCGCTGCTCTGGCTGCTGCTGCCGCCGCTGCTGGCAGGGGTGGTGGTGGTGCGGCTGCTGCTGCTCCTGGTGCTGCAGATTTCGCTGCTCTGCCTGGTGTCAGTGCTGGTGGTGGGGATTTTCCTGGAGTGGCAGAGGCAGGAGGCATGATGGCTTACCCTGGAGGAGGGCCACACACTTCCCTGTAAGTGCGCTGCTGCTGCCATGCCCTGTGCCCTCTGGCCTGTGCCCTGTGCCCCGTGCCCTGTCCCTCAGAAACTGGGCTGCTGGCGACCACTGCTTAGCTTCCCTGCTTGCAATTCTTGTTGGTTCCCTGCTTTCTTTTCTTGATAGTTCCCTGTTTGTTTTTCGGTCGGCATTCCATTCCCCACTTCTCCACTCCTCACTTCCCCATTCCCCTCTGTCCATCCCCCTTCCCTACTAGTTCCCACGCTCCACTCCCCACTACCCCCTCCCCTCTCCCCACTTCCCACCCCCCATTCCCAGCATCCCCACCAGCAGCACGGGGCAAGCAGTGCGGTGACAGAGATGAGTAACGGAGGGGGCGGTGGATAAAGCCTGGAGCTGGGGCTGCGATGGAGTTGAGACAGGGTGCAGCGCAGACAGCAAGTCATGACACGCCTCAAGACCCATCTTCTCCGTCTCCCTACTCCCCCCTCCCAGCATCCCCACCAGCAGCACGGGGGCGAGCAGTGCGGTGACAGAGAGGAGTGACGGTGGGGGTGGCGGGTGGAACCTGGGGCTGGGGCTGCGGTGGAGTGGAGGCAGGATGGAGCGCAGACAGCAAGTCCTGTGGCGCCTCAAATCCCATCTTTTCCGTCTTCCTACTTCCCCCTCCCAGCATCCCCACGAGCAGCACAGGGACAAGCAGTGCGGTGGCAGAGAGGAGTGACGGTGGGGATGGCAGGTGGAGCCTGGGGCTGGGGCTGCGATGGAGTGGAGGAGGCAGGGTGCAGCGCAGACAGCAGCAAGTCTTGACACGCCTCGAATCCCCTCTCTTCCCTCTCCCCACTCCCCACACTGCACTCCCTGCTATTCCCACCTCCCACTCTCCACTCCACCCTGCCCCTCTCAGCATCCCCACCAGCAGCACGGGGGCAAACAGTGCAGTGACTGAGAGGAACGATGGTGGGGGTGGAGGGTGGAGCCTGGGGCTGGGGCTGCGATGGAGTGGAGGCAGGGTGCAGCGCAGACAGCGATTTGTGGTGGACACGGCTTGGCTGGAAGGGATCAGGCGGGTGAGTGAGTCGGGGTAGAGGGGAGAAGGTGAAAAGAATGCATGCTGTGTGTGTGAGGGACCTTTGAGGCGCCTCAAAAGGTGGGGAGGAGGCAGGGTGCAGCGGCGGCAGCGGTTTGCGGTAAACACTACATGGCTGGAAGGGATACGGCAGGTGAGTGGTGGGGGGTGAAGTGAAAGGGATGCTCTCGAGACAGAGTGCAGTAGCGGCAGCTATTTGTGGTGGTGATATGGCATGGCCGGAAGGGATAAAGAGGGCAAGTGGTTTCTGGTTGAAGGTGTTAATGTTAGCCCTCAATCTCACATTTGTACTTGTACTTTTTATATACTAAGTTAGTGTAGTTTGCATTTTGTGTTTGGTTGGGTATACACCCACATCCCAACCAAACCCAAATGTGATCTCCAAGCAATCTCCAACCCACCGATTGGAGATTGCCTTGGGATTACCTCCAATTCCCTAGGATTGCCCCTGATTCTCTCCCCACCCTTACCTTGCCCATTTCCAATGTACTTAAAGAGCCTTGAGCTCATTACTAATGTATGGATTTTAAGCCCAAGTTCTAACATGGTATCAGAGCCATTCAACCGCACATGCGGATCTTGATCCTTTAACCTTTGCGGAATCCTCTTCCGCACCCTTGGGCGAAGCCGCCTTCAACATTCATCACTCGATGTAAAGTACCTTCATCGACCTAATCTTCTTCCCGGTCGGAATTTTTCCCGCGCCGCTTTCGTCGCCGTTGATTCGCAACATTTTCCGTGGGTAGATTCTCTCCCACACTACCTTTTCTTCAGTTACGAGGCACCGATTTATGCGTCTCGCTTAAGGTAACCATAACTACCATTTTCTCGTCGCTCTCCCTCATCATCGCGGATTTGTCCCGCCGCCCTTCTCGCTTCGACGTAACCCAATTTTTCCCATCTCGTCAATCGTCGGGCTGCCGCCTGTCGCCCTGCAGCTTCCCTTCGGCCCTGCATCTTCTCTTCGGGCTGCCGCCAGTCGCCCTGCAGCGTCACCTTCGGGCTGCCGCTCGTCGCCCCGCAACGGCACTTCCATCACCCCGCAACGGCAGTTCCATCACCCCGCAGCTGAACTGGTGAAGCTGCGCAGCTGAGCAGCCGTGTAGCAGTGAAGCTGAGCAGCAGTGTAGCCACGAAGCTGAGGGTGGTGTGTGGGGGGGTGTGTTGGAACAGGGTTAGTAGTTAGTCGACACTACCAAAATCGGCCGTTTCAACCTATTTTCGTCGGCCTTAAACCTTTTATGAGACATCTTGAAGCGGCCAACACTGACGTTCTTCGCTCTTCGGGACCTTCGGATTTCGAAATCGCTAAACCTCTCCTCAAAATTCTCCTTCATAAACCCTACTTCGCAATTCTCCTTCGTAAACCCTAAACCCGAAGTTTTTATCGATGACTTAAGAGACACATTTCGCGCGAGAAAGAGGTTCTTCACCATGGCCTTCGCCTCGGCAACCATCAACTTGTTAATCCCTGGTACCGCCATGATCAATGAAGCAACCTCGCAGCATATCAGCTCACCACAGGCACCACAGTACATAGAATTTACACTCGACAGCGGGGCCACCCACACAGTGCTCAAGGAGACACTCTCCTTCAAACCCTATTCAACAAACATTCCTCTCTTGGGAGCTGATTCAAGCTTCACCACTTTTGCCAAGAATTCGTCCACTGTCCCATGCCCCACCTTCCCATCTGGCACTGTCACTGGCATGTGCGTGCCTTCACTACGCCACAATCTAGTGGCTCAAGCATTACTGTGGCATCATCGACCCACTCACCAACAAGGTCTTGGCTCGCTTCACCCTCAATAGCAGTGGCCTTTACACGCTGCGAGCACCTATCCCACAGGTGTCAACCACCCAAGCACAGGCTGCTATCACACCATGCTCATGTCGCAGCTTCTCCAACCCGACCATCCTCTACCACTATCGGCTCGGGCACCCAGATTTCCGCACGCTCGCTGACATGGCCTCCAAGAAACTTCTTCTCGGCCTACCAGCCTCACTCCCTCCACCACCTGACTCTCCCGCTCCCACATGCCTTGACTGCACCAACCGCAAGCTACGCCAACAGCCCCACCCTGCCTCGCCTTCAGTTGCAGCAGCCCCACTGGACTTAGTGCACATGGACGTCTGGGGCCCTGCCCCTGTTGCCGCACGAGGCGGTTATCGCTATTTTCTTGCAATAGTTGATGACCACTCTCGCTACGTCTCTGTGCACCTACTCCATACTAAGGCTGAGGCTCTTGAGGCCATCATAGCGTGGGTCAACCAGGCACAGACCACCTTTGACACGAAGGTCAAGCGCCTCCATTCGGATGGTGGCGGTGAATTTTGCAACGACAGACTCAAAGCGCTCTGCTCCTCTCTCGGTATCCTGCGAAACTTCACCCTTCTTGACAGCCTGCAGCAGAACGGCATCGCTGAGAGCCGCAATCACACGTTGGCACGGATCACCCGCTGCCTCCTCAGCCACTCAAACACACCACTTTCACTCTGGGGGTAGGCCCTCTACCATGCCGCCCTCCTCTACAACCTCTACCCCCACCCGCATCTTCCCGACACCACTCCCACCACACTTAGGCTCGCGAAAACACCCACTGCTCGCCCCCTTCGGGTATGGGGGTGCACCACCTATGTCCTCCTCAACCCTCAGGCTCGGCGATAGCAAGGTGGTAAGCTCGGCCCCAAAACTGAAACTGTCAGAACTTAGGCTTAGAAGCGATGCATTAGTAATGAGCTTGAAGCTCTTTAAGTACATCCAAGAAGGGTAGGGAATGGATGGGGAAGGGAATCGGGGGCAATCCCTAGGGATTGGGGGTAATCCCAAGGCAATCTCCAATTGGTGGGTTGGAGATTGCTTGGAGATTACATTTGCGTTTGGTTGGGATGTAGGTGTACACCCAACCAAACACAAAGTGCAAACTACACTACTTTAGGATATAGAAAATACAAAGTACAAAGTGTGAGATTGAGGGCTAACACTAACACCCCCCCATAGGCGTCAATCGAACTCAGGGCAGAGAAGGTGGAGCACAGAGCCCCATGGCGCCAAGGAGACGGTGGTGAGGAACTTTCCCAAGGGGCTTGGTGAACAGATCAGCCAGGTTGCAGTCAGATGCAACGTACTCCACGTTCAGCTGCTCAGATACAAGGTCACGGATGAAGAAGTGTCGAAGTTCGATGTGCTTGGTGCGAGTGTGATACACAGGGTCTTGGGAGAGGTGGATGGTACTCTGGTTGTCACACCAGAGGGTGGGGGTGGACTGAGGGTAGCCAAGCTCCTGGAGTAGGAAGGTGAGCCAACGGGCCTCTTGAGCAGCCATGGTACCAGCGTAGAGCTCCCCTCACAGGAGGAGAGGGAGACTGCTGATGACCTAGTGGAGCGCCAACTGACATTCCGCGGTCCCCCACGATTTCGTGGCTCCGCGGTCCCCCACGATTTCGTGGCTCCGCGGTCCCCCACGATTTCGTGGCTCCGCGGTCCCCCACGATTTCGTGGCTCCCACAGACGGCTCCGCCCAAGCGAGGACGGGGCCAAACACAACTCCCGTTGACACTCCCCTGCCGCGTTCACGCTTGGGCACTCCCCCCCGGCCCCCACGGCAGTACTGCTTGGAGAATAGCCCGTCGGCGTGCACACAACGCACAGCACGCCGGTCACCGCACCAGCCATGCAAAAGGGCATGGCACCTACTGCTGCACGTCGTTGTCACCGTCACCCACATCGGCTAGGCGCACTTGGCCGATTGCAACGGAGCACCGGTTGAAGGCCGGGTAGTGCAGCGCCTTCGTCAGGAAGTCGGCTGGCTGCTCAGCGGTCGGGATGTACTTCAGCGAAAACTTCCCACGCTTCACCATGTGCTGCAGCCAGGCCTGTCGCCGCTCCACGTGCTTGAGGTTGCCCGTCAACCCCATGCCCTCGGCGACCGTGATGGCCGACTTGTTGTCCACCCTGAGGACAGTCGGCTTCCCAGCGTCCAGCCGCTGGAACTTCGCGAGAAGGAAGCGAAGGCGACGTCCCTCCTTGCCGGCTTCGACGGCCGCCACGTACTCCGACTCGGTCGACGACAGCGTCGCGCACTTGATGCGCTGGCTCGACCAGGAGACCGCGGCCCCTCTGTAGACGAACACGTAGCCGCCCGTGCTCATCCGGTTCTGCTTGTCACCCGCGTCGTCGGCGTCCACGAAGCCGACCAACTCCAGTGACTCCGGACCACCGCCGAACTCCAGGGCGGTGTCTCGCGTGTTGGCGAGGTAGGGGA